AATCTAGATATCCCCATCCCCTCACACATTTTTGTTTAGCCATTTTGAGATGCTATGACACTAATATCGATTTAAATTTTCCTGCTAAAGTTCAAAAGATGCCAGCCAATCAGATGTTTGTTTTCATGAGTATACATAGGATCACACTCCTCCCCTCTACCCATTACACTGTGAGCAAGAGTATTTAAGAGTTAGTGTTTCAAAAGATGTAGATGAAGCTAAGAACCAATAATCCTGGATGCACCAAAAAAGCTGGCGACAGCTTTGTCTAGATTGACTTTGCGACTCAATGAGTCAGACAAGTTTCATGTATGACTATCGAATGGGAGTTACTTTGGGTTTGTTTTTCACAAACAAAATTACAGCGTTACCCTCTTCAGCACTCCGACAGAGAGTTTCACGGATACCACAGGGAAATTCATCGGAATGGTTGGAGCAGTTTCAAGAAATGCTGTGGTGATTTATACTCTTACATGAACTACAGATGTGTAGAGTTTGAGCCCAATTACTAGATACTCATAGTACCCTGGAAACCTTTAGGCCATCCATTTTTACACACTTTTGCTCTCCATACCAAAAGAAATGCTGATGGTATGCACAACATATGCCTATCTATGCTGTGCAGCCACAAGCGTTTGGCACCGGACATGGGATTTATTGGAAAAGATTCCCACGTGATCGTAAAATGGGATGATTGGAAAGAGTTAGAATACTGCATGAAGAATATATAAAATGCACTTAAAAGATTGTTTGATGAGCTGGAACAAATTAAAAGCATGGAAGAACTTAAAATGAGTTTGAATTATTATTTTGAAACCAACAACAGCTATCCAATTGCAAGAAATGTTGCTGTGGACACTGAGATTATGTTTGTGAAAGAAACTGGGGGAGAAATCACAAGTGGAGTGATGTCACAAACCCCATCACGTACTGAATAAAGCCAAACTCACAAAAGTTTTTGTACTCATAGTGACAACAGATCATCTGCTGAAATGACTCACGAACTAGAAAGTAAGTAAGTAAGTAAAGTTTATTTATATAGCGCTTTTTACAACAGGTGTTGTCACAAAGCAGCTTTACAAGGAAATCAGCATTACAGAAAGAAATCCGGGTCCGAGCCCCCATGAGCAAGCCAGTGGCGACAGTGGCAAGGAAAAACTCCCTATGAACTCATAAACATGTACTCTTATGTTCTGAACATGGATAACCCTTTTACAGGATTGACTCATCCGAAAGCATCTGATGAATTTGATAGATGTATATGTATGACTGTGCTTTCCATCATCCATGCTGTGACCAGTGATCTGCTGAAAAGAAAAATTGAAAGAGATATGAGAGAAAAATGCAATGGATGCGCCATTGACCACCCTAGTCAGCATCAGCATACATGTTTGTATGATCCTGACGACTATTATCTACACATCAACGCTAAAAGACTGTTGATGAAACTGTATAAATCTTGGCTAAAATACACTTTAGCCAGAGCTCTAAAGTTGGTCGGAATCTCATCCATACCATCTCTGGAAAAAATCCAAGCCATTGCTGAAACAATCGTGTGCAATTTGTGAGATCAAACTCAAGGTGGCTCTGAAAGAGATCAAAGACAAAACTACACAGGTTTACAGCGAACATGTGAACAAACATATCTGTTGACTACTGAAACTTTCATTGCTCTCTGGATCCAACTGACCCACCTTATACACATGGGTAATCTCAGCTCCACCATCGCTAACCTCTCCAAGAAGCATCTGAAGGTACAGGTTACATCTCTGCTCTGCTCTAATTGAACTGAGAGTTAATGATAAAAATGTTTTTCAAGCCAATTATATGTAGACCTACACACAGTTTATTTTAAAACTAGAAAAGAAAATGGAGTTTGTACGATGTTCAAACATAAATTGGATCTGCTCTGTGCTGCTGTAAATGGTTCACATCCATTGCATGAATATATGTCATGTTTTATATCACTTTTGAAATATCGGCTGAACGTAAATTCAGTCATTTTTTGTGCATCTTAACCTATGTAGCCAATGTGTGTGTTTTAAAGATCATGAATAAGGAAAATGTCGATGTTGGAAAAACAATTGACTGTTTGTTTTCTTTTTTTAATAGACAATAAAGTAAATCTATTTCATGTCATGAGATTTGTAACAATAAAATGTTGACTTCACACTTGTTTTTGTTCATTATTACAGAGGCGCACCAAAATGACTGAGCAGTTGTTGAAACATATATATTATACACCATCTGACCCAGGGTCTTATGGAGGGATTGAGAGTTTGCAAAGAGCTATTGTTGAGGAAATAGGTAAAAGGGTAAATGATAATTACATCAAAAGCTGGTTAGCAGCTCAGGATGCATACACTCTCCATAAACCTGTTTCTGTGAAATATAAAAGAAACAGAGTTTTTCTGAAAAACATGGGTGACCAACTTATCAGAGAATAATGACTATGAAATTTAAGTTAACTTGTATAGATATTTTATCCAAATATGCTTGGGTACGTGTATTATGAAACAAGTCAGGAGTTGAGGTGACCAAAGCTTTTGAATCCATTCTAAAGGAAGGGAGAGTTCCTACAAAACTGCAAACTGACCAAGGGAAAGAATTTTTATCACTTTTTAGGATGGCAGTCCCCAATTATTAAAAGGGGTAAATCTATCGTAAAACCTCAATTAAAAACAGTGGCAGCATAAGTGATGTGGTAACATCATCACCAAGACTCAAATGCAAAAGCAGCATGGGTCAGAACTCGTGGCGAACAAGAACACTAGGTTGCCTCCTGGGAGGTGGATTGTATTTTCAAATTAAAAACATAAGATCACCAAGGGTAAGGTCTGAGTGAAAAAGAACAAATGAAGAGACAGGCATTCTTCTTCCTCCTCTATCAAACAAAGGACGTTGAACATTTTCTAATGCCATGGTCTTTCCGCTGAATGCACCAAGTCAGGAACTAGATATTTTTACACTACCTTACACTCGAATGAGTATTGAAAAGTATACTTATGTTGAAATACCGCCACTGTTAGCCGTGACTGATAATGGTCCCTTGGAGTTTCATGTGGCCGGCAACGGTGCAGATTACCTAGTCTTGAACAACACCTTTTTACATCTAAGGTATAATATTACAAACCCTAATGGATCCAACATAGCTAATGATACTAAGGTCAGGGTTGTAAACTATCCTATAGCATCTCTGTTTTCACAAGTAGATGTTATGCTTGGAGACTATCTCATCACTCAGTCAAGTAACACATATCCGTATAGATCAATTATGGAGTTAATTATGAATTTTGGAAAAGAAGCTTTAGAAATGCAATTTTCAGCCCTGGTCAGATGGACGTGACAGATCCTCAAGGTTGTAACAGCGGGTTCAAATCCAGGGCCCTTGTAGCGCAGAAAGCAAAACTGTTGACTTGATTGAGCACATTCACTCTGATATATTTTTTCAGGAGAAACTTTTACTCAATGGAGTTTAATTTGAAAATTAAAATAGTTTTAAGTAAAGATGAGTTTTGTCCAATGAAAGAAGAAGCCAAGGAATACATTCTTAATTTACTTACGGCATCTCTGTTTGTGAAAAAAGTAACCATGTCTGCTTCTTTCATTAGACAAAACTCGTAGTTTTGTCTAATGAAAGTTTCACCACTCAGACATGAAATAAAATTAAAAATCTATTAAAATATTTAAAATGATTATCTTTCTGATGTGATATCTCGCTCTGTGGTCTCCGCCTTTGATAATATAAGCTGCCTTCAGCTAAGTCATCTCCATAAATGCATGTGATTGTATAAACTGCAAGACGGGACTGCTACAGAAGTTGTGCATAACTCGTTCATGTATGTCATTGAAAGAGTATCATTTTTTTGCTGACATGTTAATTGGCTTTGCTACAGATTTTGATCTCAAGTGCTGGGTCCAATCCACTGGACCACTGGGTCCACTGATGTGTCTATGTACACTGACATGCCAAAAGTCATGGGAGAGGAAATATTATTGTGCAGAAATCCCAGCAACCATGGTATTTGTAGGTGCAGGATCTCTCATGCGAATGGACCTCTCCATCACATCCCATAAATGCTCAAGTAGGGCAAACATGCAGGCCAAATCATTTGTCACAACTCTCCAGAATACTCCACGGACCAATTCTGGACAACTTGGGCCCGATGGTACAGTGCATTATCCTGCTGAAAAACCCGATCATCGTGGGGGTACATGACGTCCATGAAGGACTGAAAATGGTCACCAAACAGCATAATGGTTAATGACGTGTTTAGGCGGACCAGTGGACCCAACACATGCCATGAGATCACATCCCACACCAGTATGGAACCACCAGCAGCCTGCACAGTGCCTTGTTGACAACTGGGGTAGAATGGCTTCATGGTGTCTGCACCACACACAAACCCTACCATCAGCCCAAAACAATTGGTACCATGGCTCATTGGAGCACGCCAAATGTTGCCAGTCCCACTATCATACCTTGTTCAAACTCTGATAATTCATGTTGCCTTGCCATGAGCATGCTGACCAGTCTTCAACCTCACTCACAAGATAACACCTCTCAACCTATTCAGTTGTGGGCATTCCCAAGCCATCCCCTGAGGTAAAGCCACTTCATAATCAATTTACATACTGCTATGTCATGGCTTTTGGCATGTCAGTGTATATACACACACACACACACACACACACAAGCAGTATTCCAGACTGCATTACTTTGTGCCTTGCTTACCAGTGTAGCAAAATAATGCACTAGCAAAAGCTAGTAAAAAAAAAGTCTGTTCTAGTAGAAAATACTCTGTTTACCATCAAGTGAAATAAGTTCTGAGTAAGATTGTCTATAGACATTGAGCTTTTAGCTCTAAAAAAAAATCCTTGAGAGATCTGCCCAATCAAAATCATCCACAGGTAACCACGCCCACTTTGCAACTCCTTTAATTCTGAGCAAACAAAGCTGATCTCAGAGTGCTGCTCTCTCAGTCTGTGATTGCAGGAAAATGGCCGGTATTTTAGTAGATCAGGACCAGTTCAACTGTCCAGTATGTCTGATTCTGCTAAAGGATCCAGTGACTATTCCCTGTGGACACAGTTTCTGTATGATGTGTATTAATGGCTGCTGGGATCAGGATGATCAGAGGGGGGTCTATAGCTGCCCCCAGTGCAGAGAGACTTTTCACTCCAAGGCCTGTTCTACACAGAAACAACATGTTGGCTGATGTGCTGAAGAAACTGAAGAAAACGGGACACCAAGCTGCTCCTCCTGCTCACTGTTACGCTGGACCTGGAGATGTGGAGTGTGATTCCTGCACTGGGAGAAAACGCAAAGCCATCAAGTCCTGTTTGGTGTGTCTGGCTTCTTATTGTGAAACTCATCTTAAACCTCACTATCAGTCTCCTGCCTTTAAGCATCACAAGTTGGTCAAAGCCTCTAAACAGCTACAAGAGAAGATCTGCCCTCAACATGATAAACTAATCGAGATCTACTGTCGTACTGACCACAGCTGCATCTGTTATTTGTGTATGATGCATGAACACAAAGGTCATGATACTGGTTGCAGCTGCAGTAGAACGATCTGAGAAACAGGTGAGAACAAGAGATTTTATAGAATGACTTTATGCCTAATCAATTTTCATCATGGTTGCTGCGATAATTATACATATATTTTAGTTTATGGTAATAAATGAAATGACTTAAGTGAAAGCCTAAGCCTAAATAACTTGTCTCGTCACATTGTTAGAACTAAACGAGTCAAACAAGTCATTCGACATTTAATCAGCGAACTCTTATCACCCAGAACACATTTCTTAGGTCAAAACTTAGAAGAACAAGAGTAAACTTTACCTCTTCAGCTGCCAATTATATATATAGATACTTATATGCAGGCATGTGCACAAACACCACAATGTGGTTAATTTGAATAACAACCACAAATAATGTTGGCAGGCCGAGGTGCAAATAACCTGCTAAACCAATATATTAGGGTTCAATCATAGTCAGGTTGCCCTTTTGTTCCATTGAGTTCCTGCCCCCCAAAATGTCTGTGCATGAGCCTGTTTGTACATGAAAATACACAAATAGCTCAATAAAACCTCTTCTTTTTTCCCCAGAGTCAGCTAAAGCAGGAGCAGAAGAAATCTCAGCAGAGACTCCAGGAGAAACAGAAGAAGCTGCAGGAGGTGAAACAGGCTGTGAAGACTCTTAAGGTGAGTAGTGAGCAGAGATCTGCTGGAGCAGCTGTTTCACAGCTCAGTCAGACTCTCCTCCAGTCAGACAGTGAGGAGTCCAGTGTTGGACACTTAGAGATCCTACACAGCCACAATGTGGACAATGTTACCAACTGCTTTTCAGCCAGTTCATAAACACGAGAGGCCACAAGTGACGTTTCACACTAGATTATCTTAAAACTTTTTTTTTAAACAATGTGGGTAGACAACATTAGTTAACCCAGACAATGTCAAAAATGGCACTATTTTTTATCAGCTAGGGTTGGCAGGCAAAACCAGACACTTTGGTATGAAGGTGGAAGTTCATGTTTCATCGCTCTATCTAACTTTCACTCAACACAATTCAAACAAGAGCAGCCAAGCGGCTAAGAGGGGGTTCACTACAACTAACAATCGAGGGTCACAGTGGGAGAGTGAATGATAGTTGGTGTTTAAATGGAGCTCCATCTTGTGTGTGTGTTGTAACAGAGCTCTGCACAGGCAGCAGTGGAGGACAGTGAGAGGATCTTTACTGAGCTGATCCGCTCCATTGAGAAAAAGCGCTCTGAGGTAACAGAGCTGATCAGAGCTCAGGAGGAGGCTGAACTGAGTGGAGCTGAAGAACTCCTGGAGCAACTGGAGCAGGAGATTGCTGATCTAAAGAGGAGAGACACTGAGCTGGAGCAGCTTTCACACACAGAGGATCACATCCATTTCCTCCAGGTAACAATCACTGTCTGACCTGATTGCAAATTGCAAAAAGTGTCTCACTAATACTTAAGGTATGAGAACTGATAATCATTTGAATCAAAGAGAATTACATGGACCATCCGGTATTGATTGTACACTAACATGGCCACGACTTTCTATAAATTGTCATAACATTCACATTGGCTTCCGCATGTCCATCTGTATGCATTTCTCATGGCAAGATAGAGTGTAAATATTGCAAAAAAAATTGGGAATTTCACAGTATTTGTCTTTAAATATTTTCCAAGAGGTTGAAATGTCATTCATGTTGGCCAATGCATTTCTGCACATCAGTCATATGCCCCCTTCTATTCAAAATAGATGATCCTTGGCCTCATTGAGAGACAAAATCCACTCTTAAGTCCTCTTTGCACAGAGCCACACATAATACACATAAAACAAAAGTGCAAACTACAACATACAAAAATACACAAATCAGTTTTCCGGTTCAAAAATAGCACAGATCTCTCATTTACAACTGAAGATTAAAGATTTGACTTAGACTTGCTGATCAGAGACTTAAGAGATACCAGCTTATTTTACTGATACTGCCCATTTTGTTCTTCAGGGTAAACAAGATAAATTAAAAAAAAAAAAGTCTTTGCCACCCAGCCTCCAGACTTCATTACCGAGAACCCCACTCCTGATCACATGACCACTAACCTCCCTCACAAGACTCTCCAACATTCTGCCTCACCTGACTACTGATCACTCTCACCTGTTCCTCGTTATGTTTATCTGTTGGTTTAAGCCCTTTAGTTTAGTCAAGTTGTGAAGTATTGCCTTTGTTATCAGAGCCTTACCGAGCCTTCCATTTTGCCTGTTTGCCATTTTGTGTATGAGCCTTGCTTCGTTTTCTTCGAACTTGTCTTTTTGCCTTGCCCTCTCAGTATTGTTGTGACTTCTGGTTTGACCCTGTTTCCATTTTTTAGACATTGCTTTTTGGGCTCTCCTCATGGTTACTGTTTTGGTGTATTGGTTTTTGACATTGGACTGGCTGACTTTGATTACGGATACTTCCTTTGTTAATAAACCCTTTTTTTACCTAAGAATGGCCTGCAAGTGTCTGAACTCTGTCCGAGCCAGACAGCACGTTTAAGCCTAACTTCCAAACTCTACATTCAGACAGAGCCATTGAGGGCAGGGCCTAAAAAAGGGTAGCACATGAAACTAAACCAAACTAATGCTGTTTGGTCAGAAAAAAACTTGATTTCATCTTTTTCCAACATTATCCCTCTGAACTTAAGTGAAACAGAAGAAGCACAAAACTACAAGTATTGTTTTATCTTTGCAGGACCCAATAAATACCAGCAAGTATAAATTAAGGGAAAAAGTTGACAGATTATACTCTTGTACATTGTTCTCTCTCTCCATTGTGTTTCTCTCTCTCTGTAGAGTTTCCAGTCTCTCTGTGTCTCTTCTGGATCTGAGGACTCACCCAGCATCACTGTCCATCAACATCTCTCATTTGATGGAGTGAAGAAATCTCTCTCTGATCTGAAAGAGAGACTAGAGGAATTCTGCAAGCAGGAATTCAGTAAAATCTCTCCACATGGTAAGAGGAGCTTCTGCTGTGAGACAATGATGAACATCTTGTTCAGAGTAAAGGTCAGACAAGATTTCATCATTTACACACTAATGATATAACATTCCTCTCTAACTCTGACTGCTGAACTCTGTGTTTATGCACTTGCACTTACATTCTCAATGTGCAACATTTCACAATTTTTGGTATCAAAAACAAAACAGTGGAGGCACTTACACACACACACACACACACACACAAAATATAAATTATTCAGTAACTTCTAAAATTAAATCAGGTTTTAGCTTGATGGTCAACTTTAAACAGCATTAAAATATATAAAAATACATATAAAATATAATAACATGACACTTTTTCTTTCTTTCTCCACAGCTGCAGCAGTTCAGAGTTGTTTACCTTCAGTGCCAAAAACCAGAGAAGATTCACTACAGTGTACGTACAACACACACACACACACACACACACACATACTCGAAAATACACACACAACACCCACACACGCAACACACACATATACAACACATACCACAAAGACACACTATAAATTATTCATCAACCTTTAATATCAAATCACATTTTAGTTTGATAGTCAACTTGTAGCAGCCTTAATATATGCAATAATAATATTAAATATATATATATATATATAAATATATATGTATATATATATATATATATATATATATAAATATGGCGCTTTTCTTTATCTGTCTTTCTCCACAGCTGCAGCAGTTCAGAGTTGTTTACCCTTAGTGCCAAAAAGCAGAGAAGATTCACTAAAGTGTATGTACAACACACGACAAACAAAAGAAATAACACGTAGATACTACACAGATTACACAAACAAAAGCATACAGACACACACACACACACACACAGACATACGTACACATACTCGCACACACACAACAGACATACCACACAAACTCACACACACAATAAACACAAAACACACACACTTACACACGACACACACAACACATACTACACAGAAAACATACTCAAACACACTTACACACAACACCCACACATGAATACCTGCGAACACACACACAACACAAACACACAGACATGGACAACATACACACTTACACCAATACACAACACACACGACACATGTCCCGCACACATTTACAGACACACACACATACACATACTACAAAGAATACACACACAATTAAAAAGGATGTAGGAGTAGAGGATGACCAACAAAAACTGTGCAGCAAACAGATGAGCTACTATCTCTGATTTATACCTACAAGGTGGACTGACAAGGTTTAGATATGAGTGTCTAATAGAGTGGACAGTGAGTGGACACAATCAGACCAGTGCAACAGACACTAACATGCTACCACCACGTTAGTGTCACTAACGTGCTGAGAATGATACACCACCCAAATAATACCTGCTCTGTGGGGGTCCTGACCATTAAAGTACAGGGTAACAAAGTATGCAGAGAAACAGCCGGACTACAGTCTGTAATTGTAGAACTACAAAGTGCTTCTATATGTTGAGTGGTATATAATAGCATAGTATGGTGCTTTTCTTTTTATAACGGTGGCAGATGGAACCAGACACTCGCAGCAGAGGCTTGAGTTAAGATCTTTAATAACAAAGCGGTCGTCCAAAATCACAGTCAAAAAGCCAAAGCAGAAAGTCAAAAACCAGAACAGTGGAGAAATGCTTGGTATGCACATAGGTGACAATACTTCACAAAGTAACTATCCTAAAGCCTGGGCTTATGTACTAAACTACATGACAAAGGAAATAGGGAACAGGTGTGAGTGCAATCAGAAGTCTGGAGATGAGGAGCGCTGATAGGTGGATCTCTAAGTCCATAGTCATGTGATGCAGCAAGGACTCCTGGGAATTGGAGTTCTGGGTGGCCCCGTTGGCTGTAGTTCCAGCCAGCCCAGAGGGAGGCGTGACATTTTTCTTTTTTTCTCCATAGCTGCAGCAGGTCAAAAATTTTTGCCATCAGTGCCAAAAACCAGAGAAGATTCACTACAGTGTAAGTACAACACACACACACACACACACATACTCAAAAATACACACGCAACACCCACACACACACGCAACACACACATATACAAGACATACCACAAAGACACACTATAAATTATTCATCAACCTTTAATATCAAATCACATTTTAGTTTGATAGTCAACTTGTAGCAGCCTTAATATATGTAATAATATATATATATATATATATATATATGGCACTTTTCTTTATCTGTCCTTCTCCACAGCTGCAGCAGTTCAGAGTTGTTTACCCTTAGTGCCAAAAAGCAGAGAAGATTCACTAAAGTGTATGTACAACACACACACACAGACATACAGACACATACTCGCACACACACAACAGACATACTACACAAACTCACACACACAGACAACACGTACTACACAGAAAACATACTCTACACCTGTCTACACCTGTTTGGTAGACAAACACATAACTCATGTACATTGAGTATTCCAGCTCCTGCTCAAGAATCATTTGTATTTTAAGCATCCTGCATTGCCATTTGTAGTGGAGGTTGACACCTTTGAAGTGGGCATAGGCCACAGTGTTGTCCCAGCATTCTTTGGATGACCACAAGCTGCACCCCTTGTACTTTCTACTCACATCGCCTTACTCCCACTGAACGGAACTATAATGTTGGGGATCATGAGTTGCTAGAGTTGAAGTTGGCCCTGGAAGAATGGCAGCATTGGCTGGAGGGGGCCAAACATCGTTTCCTGGTCTGGACGGATCATAAGACTTTGGGCTATATACAACAGGCCAAATGTCTTAGCCCCCGTCAGGCCAAGTGAGCAATGTTCTTCATTCGCTTCGATTTTACACTCTCTTATCGTCCCAGGTTGAAGAACATCAAGCCTGATGCCCTCTCCAGGCAACAGGATGTACCTCCTGCTAACCAGTTCCTGGAAACTATCATTCCTATATCCCGAATCATTGCCCCATTGCACTGGGGGCTGGAATCAGCCATCCAAGAGGCTCTTTTGAACTAAGCCAGACCCTGGGGGTGGACAATCTAAGCGACAGTATGTTCCTCAGGTTCTCCAGTCAGGTCATTCTCCCACCTTTTACTAGCCATTCAGGAGTAACATGTCCACTGGAGTTCCTGAAAAGGCATTTCTGGTGGCCCAACTGAGAAAGAGATGTACGGACCTATGTAGCAGCCTGCCAGGTGTGTGCACAGAACAAAGAGCCCAGAATGAAACCTGCAGGTCTGCTCCAACCTCTGCCCATACCATCCAGGCCTTGGTCAGTGAAATCCATTGACTTCAACATTGGCTTACCATCATCTCAGGGGAATACAATGATAATAGTTGTGGGAAATCGATTTTCCAAGGCCTGTAGATTTATAGGCCTACCAAAATTCCCATTGGCCAAAGAGACCACCACACTCCTGCTGCAGCACTTGATCAGAATCCATCATTTTCCCACAAACGTGGTTCCTGACTGAGGGCCCCAGTTTACCAGCAGGTTTTGGGGGGCAATTTGCAAATTAGTCAATGTAGGTTTATCCTTGGGTTTTCTCCCCCAGTCAAATGGGCAGGCTGAGAGGATAAACCAGGAACTCGAGAGGATGCTCAGATGTGTGGCATCTTCTAGGCCCTCCACCTGGTCTGAGCACCTGCTCTGCGTGGAGTATGCCCATAACACCTTGTGGAACACCTCTCTGGGCATGTTGCCTTTCGAGTATCCTCCACCCATGTTTCCTGAGCAGGAGTCTGAGGTCGAGGTTCCTGCAGCTTGAGATTTTGTTAGTTGTTTACTGTCATGGCAGAAGGTCTGTGTGGCTCTGCAAAAGGCAGTGGCATGGCAGAAGAAAACCACTGATCGTAGGTGACATTTGGGTCCTTCCTTCCATCTGGGGCAACAAGTCTGGCTCTCCACCAGGGGCCTGCCACTAAAGGTGTCCAAAAACCTGGCCCCACATTATCTGCCCTTTCAAAATAACATGTCAGGTTTCTCATCCCCTAAACCTTGTGAATTAACCCAATGTTCCATGTTTCGCATCCTAAGGCGGTCCTTTGTAGTCCTCGGGTTTCTCCCTTTGTTCCCCCACCACCACAAGTGATAGCAGGTTCCCCAGCTTACACTGTCCACCATCTGCAAGTCCACAGTGGCACCCAGTACTTGGTAGACTGGGAGGGTTTGGGCCGGAGGAATGATGCTGGGTCCCAGCCCGGCACATCCTGGACCCTGAGCTCATAAGGGCTTTTTGGAGGGACCATGCAGCTGGTACTATAATATCTCAGTGATGAAGGACTAGAGTATGACTTACACAAACTGTGCAGCTACAGATGAGCTGTCATCAGTGAATTTATATGTACAAGTTGGACCAACAAGGTAGGAGTGTCTAATAGAGTGGACAGTGAGGGAACACAGTGTTTAAAATCTCCAGCAGCACTGTTCTGACTACTGAAGAACAGGGTAACAAAGTATGCAGACAAACAAACGGACAATTACAGTCTGTAATTGTAGCACTACAAAGTGCTCCTCTATGGTGAGTGGAGCTAATTAAATGAACAATGAGTGTAGAAACAAGGATATGTTCCTAATAAATTGCTCAATAAGTGTAAAATAAAATATTAAGAATATATAATAACATAATATTGCACTTTTCCTTTCTTTCTCCCCAGCTGGTGCAGAGGGTAAAGTTTTTTACCCTTTACTCCAAAAACCAGCGATGATTTAAAACAGTGTATATACACACGCACACATATACTTGTACAAACACACAATATACACGTATATAACACAGACGTATGTAAAAACAGAGCATGCCACGTTTCTTTTTCTTTCTTTACAAGATTTACAACAGTGTATGTACACACACACACACACACACACACACACACACACACGCACGCACGCTCACACAATATACACAAATACAACACAAACATGCCACACATACATACAAACAAACATACTTCGCACACTCATACCACACACACATAGACACACTATAAATGATTCATTAACTTCTACAATTAATTCAGGCTTTAGCTTGACAGTCAACTTTAAGCAGACTAAAAGTATATAATAAAATATAACAAAATACAGTATAATGACATAATATGGTGCTTTTCTTTTTCTTTCTTTCTCCACAGCTGCAGCAGTTCAGAACCTTTTACCATCAGCACCAAGAAACAGAGATTTACAACAGTGTATGTACACACACCACACTATACAGAATATACACACAAATACACACTATTAATTATTAGTAACTTCTAAAATTAGATCACATGTTAGCTTGACAATCAACTTTAAGCAGCCTAAAATTATATAATCATAATATAAAATAACATGAAGCTTTTCTTTTTCTTTCTTTCTCCACAGCTGCAGCAGTTCAGAATCTTTTACCCTCTGCACCAAAATCGAGAGAGGATTTTCAACAGTGTATGTACACACACACACACACACACACACACACACAGACAGCACACACACAGACAGCACACAAAACTGTTAATTAATTAAAAGAAGTACATTCTGTGAACAAAACCCTAAAAAACTTTGAAAGTACTTGATTATAATTTGTGCATCAGTTCAAGTGAGAAGTGGTCCTCACAGGGATACAAAGACAAGTACTCAAACATAAATACATGTACTCACACACTCACAGCACATACAGCACACATATGTATGACACACACACAATGCACACACATACATCCACACGACACGCACACAAAACACACACGGAACACTCATACTCAAACAGACACTCACAATGTAAACATATGAGTCAACTAATTTCAAAGCAATACTCTTTTCCAGTGTTCACATTTATTTTATGTATTTTCTTTGTTAGATTTCTGTCGGCTGACTCTGGATCCCAACACAGCAAATGATTATCTCAAACTGTCTGCGAAGAACAGAGCTGTGACACACATTGGGTTTAAGCAGTGTTACGTTAATCATCCAGAGAGATTTTACTACTGGCCTCAGGTGTTGAGTAAGGAGAGTGTGAGTGGACGCTGTTACTGGGAGGTTGAGTGGAGCAGTGGACGACATGGACTGTACATATCAGTCTCATATAAAGGGATCAGCAGGAAACAACGGGGTAAAGAGAGCAGATTTGGACACAACAGTCAGTCCTGGAGTCTGCAGTGTTCTCCCTCTCTCTCTTTCTATCACAACAACATTCAGACTGAGATCTCAGCCTCATCATCCTCCAGAATAGGAGTGTATGTGGATCACAGTGCAGGAACTCTGTCCTTCTACAGCGTCTCTGACACAATGACCCTCCTACACACAGTCCACACCACATTCACTCAGCCTCTCTATGCTGGATTCTGGGTTGATGGTGAGTTTTTTTTTAATGGGAGAACTGTGAAGTTGTGTGACCCCAAATGATGTCTATGTGGTATATTATGGTTATCTAACAAGAGAGCAGAATAAGAATAAGAATAAATAGGGAAAAGAAAGAGTTCAGACCCAACTTTCACATCCTTTCTAGGGTGGGTAATTATGTGGTAATTTAGTAAGTAGTTATTCAGTAAGTAACAATTTAGATATTTAGTTACTAGTAATTTAGTAAGGAGCACTTTAGTAAGTAATTTAGACATTTAGTAAGTAGTAATTTAGTAAGTAGTAATTTAGTAAGTAGTCATTTAGTTATTTTGTTATTAGTAATTTAGATATTGAGTAAGTAGTAATCTAGTAATTTAGTAAGTAATAATTCAGTAAGTAGTAATTTAGTAAGTAGTCATTTAGTTATTTTGTTATTAGTAATTTAGATATTGAGTAAGTAGTAATTTAGTAAATAGCAGTTCTGTAAGTAATTTAGATATTCAGTATGTGGTAATTTAGTTAGTTGTCATTTAGTAAGTAATCATTTAGTAATTTAGTGAGTAGTAATTTAATAATATAGTTAGTTGTAATTTAGATATTTAGTAAGTAGTAATTTAGTAAATAAGTAAATTACGTAATTATTAAGTAGTAATTAGGTCATTTAAAAAGTAGTAATTTAGTAGGTATGAATTTAGATATTTAGTATATAGTAATATAGTAATTTAGTAAGTAGTAATTTCAATATTTAGTAGGCAGTGATGTAGTAAGTAGTAACCTGGTAATTTAGACACTAATTTAGATATACAGGAATTAAGGAGTTGAAGCGAAAGGCATCTCCTCAAGTAGTACAGCACTGGTTGGCACTTTGCAATTGATCAGTTAATGAACGTCATTGAGTCAGTAGAGTTTAGCCTGTTGCCACAGTGATGTGAAACTGTATCTGGTTGACACAACAGGCAGTATTCAACACTGCATTACTTTTTGCATTGCTTGCCAGTGTAAAAGTTTCTATCCATGGATCATATAAGGATGAGCTACAGTGGCAAAAAGAGAAAAAGAAATGGTGGCAAGAAGGCAAGAAAAAAGCAAAGGTAGGGAAATGCTCTAAAATATCATACTTATCCAAACAAGTAGGCAGTATAAGATGCTAACAGGAATGTAGTTCCTAGTAGCTAGTATTTGCTTGTAGCCTATTAACAACAAATCTTTCTCAAGTTTTCATTTTAGCACTGGCCAAGTTGGTTTCCTCATTATAATAAATAATCAAGAGCAGAAAATGATGAAGAAAATGCCTAGAAATTTACTGAAGTTAGCTAGTAAAAGGTTAGCTACTGGCGTTTTTTCAGAAATTAAAGAAAAGAAAGTTAATTTTACAGTTACAGTTAGGGTTTGGGGTGCTCCAGTCCTGCTCATCAATTTGATTTCATTTTAATCAAGCAAAATAATAACAGTGCATTAAGTAATGTTATAGCTGTTTGATAGCAATATTTTTTATTTATTTAATTTTTTTTACAAATGGCTATTTTTAAAATAAAGCTGTTTTTGAATATGATTTGTTTAATCAAATGAATAAAGTGGTTTCACATGCTTTGATGAAGAGCTCGTAACACTTTATAATAACAGGCCCTAATAAACAGCAACTGAATATAACAGTTTGTTAATATATAAAAGTTATATTTGCATAGCTAATTGGTACTATTTGAATAACTGACTGTTTACTTTTGTTACATAATTTACTTTGTACATTTATAGATTTACAGCCATCTGTAAATTGCAACACATGTCTGTTCATCCTTCCTTCGTTGTCTGTTCAATCTCCTTCTCCTGTATCATAGCATCATCAAACCAGTTCTAATGTATGATGCCATCTGTTCTTTTCAATATGCTTGCAGTTTCCAATAAGAATAAAGTCATAAACATAACTAATCCGGCCAGCAAACTCATTGGTATTCGAACCTGTCAACTTTTCGAGTGTGTGACCTCATTTCTGATCCGCAAGGCACTTATAATCACGCATGGTCCAGACCACTTGAGTAAGAGTTTCGTACTTACAGCCATTCGGGTATTAAACAGGTAACTCTCCCATGAATTAGCATGCAATGAGTGTCAATGCATGTCCTATTTTTATTTTATTTTATTTTTTTACCTTTGTAATTATGTTTGTATATCGATGTACTATCTTGTATTTTTGTATGTTTGTTTTGTGTATCTTTGTTTTATGTATGCAATCCCCCTTGAAGACTACTCATCCATGTCTTTATGGACCTTGCTTTGTGCACTGGTGTGCAGTCATGTTGGAACAGGAAGGGGCCTTCCCCAAACTGTTCCCACAAAGTTGACAGCATGAAATTGTCCAAAATCTCTTGGTCATTAAGAGTTCCTTTCACTGGAACTAAGGGGCCGAGCCCAACTCCTGAAAATCAACCCCACACCATAATCCCCCTCCACCACACTTTACACTTGGCACAATGCAGTCAGAAAAGTACCGTTCTCCTGGCAACCGCCAAACCCAGACTCATCCATCGGATTGCCAGACAGAGAAGTGTGATTCGTCACTCCAGAGAACACGTCTCCACTGCTCTAGAGTCCAGTGGCGGCGCTTTACACCACTGCATTCGACGCTTTGCATTGCACTTGGTGATGTAAGGCTTGGATGCAGCTGCTCGGCCATGGAAACCCATTCCATGAAGCTCTCTACACTGTTCTTGAGCTAATCTGAAGGCCACATGAAGTTTGGAGGTCTGTAGCGATTGACTCTGCAGAAAGTTGGTGACCTCTGCGCATGTGCCTCAGCATCCACAGCATCTGCTGTCGTTCCCAATCGCTTCCACTTTGTTATAATATCACTGACAGTTGACTGTGGAATATTTAGTAGCGAGGAAATTTCACAACTACACTTGTTGCACAGGTGGCATCCGATCACGGTACCACGCTGGAGTTCACTGAGCTCCTGAGAGCGACCCATTCTTTTACTAATGTTTGTAGAAGCAGTCTGCAGGCCTAGGTGCTTGGTTTTATACCCCTGTGGCCATGGAAGTGATTGGAACACCTGAATTCAATGATTTGGATGAGTGAGTGAATAGTTTTGGCAATATAGTGTATCTTTGTGTATCTCAGGTGTAGATATTCAGACTATGATTAATCCAGGTTTAGTTATTCAGGCTGTGATTAATCCAGGTTTAGATACTCAAGCTGTGATGAATCCAGGTTTAGATATTCAGGCTTTGATTAATCCAGATTTAGACACTCAGACTATGATTAATCCAGATTTAGATATTCAGGCTGTGATTAATCCAGGTTTAGATACTCAAGCTGTGATTAACCCAGGCTTAGACACTCAGACTGTGATTAATCCAGGTTTAGATATTCAGGCTGTGATTAATCCAGGTTTAGATACTCAAGCTGTGATTAACCCAGGCTTAGACACTCAGACTGTGATTAATCCTGGTTTAGATATTCAGGCTGTGATTAATCCAGGTTTAGATACTCAGTCTTTGATTAATCCTTGAGTGTTTGCATATGAAAGCAAGACACTTTTGATGAACAGCCAATCGAGTGAACATGAACAGGAGTTGCAAAATAAGGAAAAAGAAATCAAACCATGTAAATATTTAGAAAGTACAGCATTTATAACAGTTAAAAAGCAAAAATGTCACCACTGCCACCAGATTTAAATGCAACTAAGCTTAAGTATAACTGGGTAAGCAAGAAATACTGAAAGTGAGACAGAGCAATGGATCTACAATGCTAGAGAAGGTGATCTGTAATTTAAAGTGTAGCTTATTAGACCCCCAAATGAGCATCCTGTCATCAACACACATTAGCAAGTTATAAATATGCAATATTTAGACAGTTTGTGTTAGTCATCTAATTCTACAGTATATCAGCAAGCAAGATAGGGGAGACTCCTCAACACATCTTGCTTAGGACCCCCAAAATGCTAGAGTTAGACCTGTACTGGTGCATGTTCCAGTTTTACTGCACCTCCACCAAAGAGTTTGTCTCTGAACCCCTTAAAATCCCAGGCTTACTACACACTAAGGCTTATTATTCAGTAACTACAGGGACTTCATTGCAAACTAACTGATTTTTCTAACTTGTTTTTCTTTGAAATGTGGACCTCACTAAACATTAAGACCAGACACATTTGCTTTAAGAAAAGGTTCATAAATGACAGCACAGCTACACTTTTCATTAGCAAAATGTGTTCTGCGCCATGCAAGCCATCTGACTCTGTTGATGCTTTGCTGGATAGCTTTAACTCAAAAATTGTCAGTGTTATGGATGAGACTGCACCAGTTAAAGCTGCAACTGTGTCATGCCAACAGAAAGCTCCTTGGAGGAATGCTGAACGCAGATGGCGTAAAACTTCAAATTCACAAAGAAATCTTCAAAGATTGGCTTCGTGATTACAACACAATAATGTGCAAAGCTAGACGATCCTTTTTCTCTAGCATTATCAACAATAATATTAACAACAGCAGAATACTCTTCACTAGGGGTGGGAATCTTTAGGCACCTCACGATTCGATTCGATTACGATTCAGGGGGCTGTGATGCGATTGTAGAATGATTATCGATGCATCTCAATGCATCTTTTTTTTTATATGATTTCTATTTTCTTACTGTCTGAGGACTTGGTAGTTTTAAAACAAAGAATTTGTAATGATCCATAATGCATTTACGTCCAATATCTTTTATTAATAAAACAAATGGAAGTGATGTGGTAAGTGAACTACAAGGCTCTCATTAACTGCTCGTTTGGAGACGCTGCTGCCAGTCATCTATAATAAAATGCGCTGTTACGGTTAAATAAGATCCAGTGGTAATGGATGAGCACGCAGCACGTTACAGCAGTCCTACCCGTTTATTTCAGTGATTTTATAACTTCGGTTTCGGTCTCGTGATGGGGGGGGCCACGAAAGCCCTATTATGCAACAACTGAGAACTGGCGTTTCTCACGTAGCAACGAGGTTTCGCTGAAATAGTAGCGAACGAAAAAGGAAAAGAGAAAGACAGATGAACATAACATTTGGAGATGAATGGACTTCGCATTTATAAGCAGCGCAGTTGGTTTCCTGGCAAGTTAAATCCGCAACAAGAGACTGTCTAAACACTAACTAAATAGTTGCTTAGATGAAGTCGCTTCTCTTTCTAATTTCCCGTTCCACCTTAAATGGTGCCGCATTTACATTCGGCGCCTCAGTCAGAATTTAAGGTGGAACGGGAAAGTTCAGTAGGAAGCTGGCGAGTGAAAAGCGAATTCAGCCTCGTAAAACAGCCGAAAGCTGAGAGACATTTTACAAGAAACTATTCAACTTTTGAGGAAATGTTTTCTGGCGGAGTTGGAAGAAAAGCGGCTAAAGCTAAAGCTTAAAGCAGAGCAGTGTAAGTCTGTGTTTATGTTTATATTTTTTTGCCTATACTAGGACATTATCACATACTGAACATTAAATGCTGTGGCTCCCAAGGTGGTTTGACTTTGTTGAAAGGACAAAATGGCTCTTCTTAACATTTGTGTTGTGACTCCTGATCTAACCTGGCTTTAATGCAGAGGGAGCCGGTCGGATTTCTCACTCATCCAGTTGTTTTTGTTATGTGCCGCCACAGACTGTCCGGGCGCTGCACTTACCCACTTCCAAGTTCTGCCCTTTGCGTTCCGTCAACATTACGTTATAAATTAAATATTTAGAAAATCGATTTTTGACATTTGTGAATCGATTCAGAATCATTCACGTCTGCATCGCGATGCATCTAAGAATCGATTTTTTCCCGCACCCCTACTCTTCACCATGGTTGACAAAGTCACCTACATATATGGAATGCATGAGTTTTCTACCTTTTTTAACACTAAAATCCAGAGTATCAGGGAAGCCAATAATACATCTATATCTGCCAAAGAGCCCATGTCCTCTCCATCACCACGTAAAGATGTCATGGTTAAAATGTCCCAGTTTAGTGCTATCAAAAATGAAATTTTAATCGATACAGTGAATCATCTCAAATTCTCCACTATAATTCAAGAACCCTAAAATCTAAAGAACTAGTATGTAACCTAGGTGTACTAATGGACTCTAATCTTAGTTTTCAAAGCAGTTACTAAATCAGCTTTTCATCACATTAAGAATATCAACAAGATCAGAGATTTTCTGACTAAAGCAGACCTGGAGAAACTCATTCATGCCTTTATTTCTAGCAGGATTGATCACTGTAATGGTCTCCTAACTGGACTCCCAAAAAAGACAATCAAACAGGTTCAGATGATTCAAAATGCACCTCACTAGGAGAAAAGAAGGGAACACATCACAATTCTTATTTCAACTCAAAGTAAAATCAATTTGCAGTAAAAGAATATTATATTCGCGAATAAGTACAGTGAGTTCTGAGTAAGAATGTCTATAGACATTAAGCTTTTAGCTCTAAAATATTCCTTCAATTAAATTCTTTCACATGTAGTCACCCCCAATCTGCTGCTTCTTTATCTACAGACTTTATCTACAGACAGAATTCCAGCTGCTTCTCCTGCTCACTGTTACGCTGGACCTGGAGATGTGAATGTGATTCCTGCACTGGGAGGAAACGCAAAGCCATCAAGTCCTGTTTGGTGTGTCTGGCTTCTTATTGTGAAACTCATCTTAAACCTCACTATCAGTCTCCTGCCTTTAAGAAACACAAGTTGGTTGAAGCCTCCAAACAGCAACAAGAGAAGATCTGCCCTCAACATGATAAACTGATTGAGATCTACTGTCGTACTGACCACAGCTGCATCTGCTATTTGTTTACAATGCACGAACACGAAGGCCATGATACAGTTGCAGCTCTACAATCTGACAAACAAGTGAGCAATAGAACTTGTTTTAAATCAATTAATGCTTTTTTTGTATTTATAAAAGAGAATCTGTTACATTTCTTAATTACACCACTGTACAGGCGATCAATTTATGGGAAATTAATGATGAAAAAACATGAAAGGTGTTTGGTAGGGAAATAATAAACAAATCTGTGAGCCATCACCCATCTTAAAGCACATTTACAGCTTTATACTTCTCACTTTTAGAATCCGTTCATACACAATTTTTATGTTAAGTAATTTCCATTAGTCAGTTATACTATTTCAAGATTAATTTGACTTTTTGGGTTTTAAAACCTTATGATGAGTGAAACTGTTACGAAGTCATCAACAAGACTGATATTTCCTTCTTACTCTTATTTGAATATTCTGTTCCACCTTAATTGCTCCTGCAGAGATTATATTTTGCCAGTAGATGGCACTGGTTAGTCAACCTACTGTCAATCTACTCAAAAAAAAGAACAAAAAAAAAAACAATTGTAAGGGGGGCAGCTATTTCCTACAACCCCCTTAAATTAACATTTCCAAATTATTATATTTAAATTTTTCTAGTAGGCAGCTAAAGCACATACTATTCTTACATAAACATTAAACTCTCATACACATTATTTTCCTACAACCTTTAAAATGAGGCAGGGGATCTCACCTGAATTTTCCAGACTACTGTCACATAAAGGAATATATAAATAAAAATAAAAGAAAATAAATTGTTTTATCTTATTTCATTTTAAGATTTTTGAAAAATGAATGTTTTCACCTGTTACAGTACCCCTGAGGAATGGCTATGAATATTCTGCTTCCTTGTATATTCCTTGAGAGATCTGCCCAATCAAAATCCTTTACAAGTAACCACTCCCACTTTGCAGCTTGTGTCATTCTGAGCAAATGAAACTGATCTCAGAGAGCTGCTCTCTCTCAGTCTGTGAGTGTAGGAAAATGGAAGAGGCCAGTATTTCAGTAGATCAGGACCAGTTCAGCTGTCCAGTATGTCTGGATCTGCTGAAGGATCCAGTAACGACTCCTTGTGGACACAGTTACTGTAAAGTTTGTATTAATGGACACTGGGATCAGAATGATCAGAGGTCAGTCTACAACTGCCCCCAGTGCAGAGAAACTTTCACTCCAAGGCCTGTTCTACGCAGAAACAACATGCTGGCTGGAGTGGTGGAGGAACTAAAGAAGAAACTTCAAGTTATTCCTCACTGTTACGCTGGACCTGGAGATGTGGAGTGTGATTCCTGCACTGGGAGAAAACTCAAAGCCATCAAGTCCTGTTTGGTGTGTCTGGCTTCTTACTGTGAAACTCATCTTAAACCTCACTATCAGTCTCCTGCCTTCAAGAAGCACCAGCTGATCACAGCCTCCAAACAGATACAAGAGAAGATCTGCTCTCAACATGGAAAACTGATTGAGATCTACTGTCATACTGATCACAGCGGCATTTGTTATTTGTGTATGATGAATGAGCACAAAGGCCATGATACAGCTACAGCTGCAACAGAACGATCCAAGTACCAGGTGAGAAAATGAACATTTATAGAATGTCTTCATGTACAGTGAGTTGAATTATTCAGGTATAGGATTAATGCTGTAATTATATCAAATTTAGGTTATGAGAATGAGTGAAATGACTTAAGTGACACTGTTGTGGGTAAGGGGCTGGTAGCCTACATGATGTCTGTCTCATTGTTAGTGCTAAACGAGTCAAACCAGTCAATCAACCTTTAATCAACCTCAGCTCTTATCTCCCAGCACACATTTCACATCCAGCCTCACCTGGTTGTGGAGATTTCCCCACAGTTCACTCCTACCTGACAGAGATACCTGCATCACGACAATGCAAGGAATGTGAACAACAAAGCACTGATAAGATCAGCATCCTATTTCACAATGTAGTTCATTTGAACGACAACCAAATACAATGTTGGCAGGTACCTTTGTTCACAGTAGGTTAGGGTACAAATGTTCATTTGGGCTGTAATGCTAGTGTTTCAGGCTGCCTTGGAAAAACTCTTAATACGACATTTAGTGTCTTCTGAAGAAATTATTTCACTGTGTATATTAATAGCAGTTATCGCAATATGTAGTAAATTAATTAGGTTACACTAATGGTCAGGTTGCCTTTTATCCCATTGAGTTCCTGCCCCCAAAATGTCTATGTACAGGCCTGCTTATATGTCAAAATTCACAAATAACCTAACTAAATAAAATAATTTTCTTCAGAATCAGCTAGTGGAAATGCGTATGAATTCTCAGCAGAGACTCCAGGAGAAAGAGAAGAAGCTGCAGGAGGTGAAACAGGCTGTGAAGACTCTTAAGGTGAGTAGTGAGCAGAGATCTGCTGGAGCAGCTGTTTCACAGCTCAGTCAGACTCTCCTCCAGTCAGACAGTGAGGAGTCCAGTGTTGGACACTTAGAGATCCTACACAGCCACAATGTGGACAGTGAGTCATCTAGAGTCCCAGTGAGAGAGTGAATGATAGCTGGTGTGTAAATGGAGCTCCATCTTGTGTGTGTGTTGTAACAGAGCTCTGCACAGGGCAGCAGTGGAGGACAGTGAGAGCATCCTTTCTGAACTGATCTGCTCCCTTGTAAAAATTTGCTCTGAGGTAACAGAGCTGATCAGAGCTCAGGAGGAGGCTGAACTGAGTCGAACTGAAGAACTCCTGGAGCAACTGGAGCAGGAGATTGCTGATCTAAAGAGGAGAGACACTGAGCTGGAGCAGCTTTCACACACAGAGGATCACATCCATTTCCTCCAGGTAACCAGCACTGTCTGATCTATAGAGAAAAACTTGTTCCTCAAAAAAGTTCTGAAACTCACAATGATACTAAAGATTTCCATAAAGGGGTATGCCTGCATGTGTCTGTGTAGGTGAGTAATAGTGCAGTACTTTTTACAAAGTGTAAAAAATGTCCCCAGGAAGTAGGTGTTTTAAACCTACCTATTTGCTTGATCTAGACACCTGGCATCTTTTCTTTGCTTTGATTTCCATAGAGGGGTATGCTTGCATGTGTCTGTGTTTCACAATTCTGTGAGCAGATTTTAGCAATCTGATGTGGAACAAACAATGGCAAGTTTTTGTATGCTCAGCACAATGTAACAAGAAGTGCAACAAGGCCAAGATTTGATCACTTGATTGAAGGAACGTATGGATTTTTTTTTAGCATCATGCCTTTTAAAGTTATTTGAGAGTTTGCTATAGCTAATATATGAGATATCCTTACATGATTGCCAAAGTATACCACAAGTTTTTATGGTCGGTTATTCAGCACACCTCTTAAATGTCCACTTCCTCTCAAAGTAGAAGGTTTTTGGTAATAAAGAGTGACAAAATCCATCAGACTCTCTGAGTCTTATTCACAGAGGACTACACAAAGTGCCCAATAACCAACTTCTACCTGTCCCATCGATGGGCAATCTCTTAAGTCAGGGGCAGTCTCTTGCCAAACGAAACTGCTTACATCAGATACTGAGCAGGTCTCTCCCTGTCTCCAGCACCACAATCCCTGTCTGGACTGGCAGAATTGATCCATCCTTTAATGGGGTCCCTTGTGCCAGACCTCCTGTTTATAGGTCCCAGTTCTCCGAGGTATCAATTCCCAAACCCCAGATCCAGGCTCCTATGACCTTTCTGAAGTACCCTCCAGGAGGTCTTTGACAAGAAGAAGGCCTAGCTCCTTCCCCTCCATTGGCTTTATGATATTGCCATAAACCTGTTACCTGGCACCAGTAACCCTCGGGACTGACTATTTTCTGTGACTGCCACAGAATGTAAGGCCATGGAGTATTACATCCAGGAGTCCCTGGCACTTGGTATCATGCGGCCACTGACCTTCCCAGCGGGAGCAGGCAAGAAAGACAGGGGTCTTCACCCCTGTATAGATTACTGGGGACTCAATAAGATCACGGTTAAGGACTGCTACCCCTTACCTCTCATGTCCTCTGCCTTTGAGGCACTGCAACAGACATACATCTTCACCAAGCTGGACCTGCGCAGTGCCTATAACCTTATCAGGGTAAAGGAGGGGGACAAATGGTAGACAGCCTTAATTACCCCATCTGGCCACTATGAATAGTTAGTTATGCCCTTTGAGGTGATGAATGCCCCAGCCAGTGCTACGTTAACAAGGTTCTGAGGAAGATGCTTGACCATTACATGTTCATCTATTTGGATGACATGCTCATCTACAGCAAGAACCAATAGGAACACATAGCCCACATCTGGCAGGTTCTCCAGCTGCTCCTGGAGACTGACTTGTTTGTGAAGTTGGAGAAATCACTGTACCATGTTCAAACACTATCCTTTCTGAGATTGTGGTGTCATAGGACCGCCTGAGCATGGATCCAGCCAAGGTTCAGGCCATGGCTCAATGGCCATAACCCACATGCCTCCACTTGGTACAGCTCTTCCTAGGCTTCACTAACTCCTTCCGTGGATTTATAAAGAATTTTAGCACAATAGTCACTCCACTGACCGCCCTCAGAAAAAAGAGTTCAGGGCAGTTTCAGTGGACACCGGAAGCCCAGGAAGTCTTCAAGGAAAATAAGTGGCGTTTGACCTCAGCCCTAGTGCTCCAACTTCTGAACCCAGAGTTCCCCTTCATGATGGAGGTGGATATCTTTGAGATAGGTGAAGGGGCAGTCTTGACCCAGCAATTTTGTCCTAACTAGAAGCTACACCCCTGCGCCTTCTTCTCACACTGCCTCTCAGAACAAAACTACAATGTGGGTGTTTGACATCCTCTGTCTGGTGAGCTGTCCACGTTGCAGTGAACTAAACAAAATAAATGGTTACACAAATGGGTAGTTAAACACAGTTAAATTGGATGTCTTATTGCAGATAAAACTCTCAAAATGCTAGCTAGCTCATTCACTTGGGTTTTATAGCCTCAACTAAAAAGATTTTTTGTTTTTTTTGGGTTGAGAGCATGACAAGACAAAGCAGATTGAAGAATATAATTCTGATTGGCAAGAAAACAAATTAGACATCATCTTCTTCCAACACAGTCCCTCTGAATTTAAATGAAACAGAAGAAACACAACTATAAGAATTGTTTTTTATTTGGAGTCAATTTTTCAGGACCTGATATATAACAGCAATAAATGAATTAAGAAAAAAACATGACAGGCCTTTACTCTTGTACATTGTGTTTCTCTCTCTCTGTGTAGAGTTTCCAGTCTCTCTGTGTCTCTTCTGGATCTGAGGACTCACCCAGCATCACTGTCCATCAACATCTCTCATTTGATGAAGTGAGAAAATCTCTCTTTGATCTGAAAGAAAGACTAGAGGAATTCTGCAAGCGGGAATTCAGTAAAATCTCTCTGTACAGTGAAAGGAGCTCTTCTGATGAAGAACATGAGGATGAATCCCTACCTCAACAGAGTCTTTGCTCGTATAGAGACGATATGGGTGAGTCATAAGAGGTTTTGTCCTTATTGCTACCCTTTTATGACAACTGTGACACAGTTAAATTCTTCATACTGTATGTCTTGGTATAGCCTAAAGCAGGGGTGTCAAACTCAACCACTAAAAGGGCCAATTACAAAAATCTCCAGAAATCAACCTTAAATTCCTTCAAGATCTTAAAAATATGACAAAACATCCACAGCAAAATGTAGCCCCTTGTGGTCAACCTTGAAATGTTGAGTACATGAGTAATAGTACAGTACTTTTTACAAAGTGTAAAAAATGTCCCCAGGAAGTAGGTGTTTTAAACCTACCTATTTGCTTGATCTAGACACCTGGCATCTTTTTTTTGCTGCAACTTTATTCATTCTGAGCTGAATGTTTATAGTGTTTATATTGGTTGAACTGCAGCTAAAATACAGCTAGTATGTTTGGTGATATGACCGGTGTGGTAGAATGGAGGTGTAACCACTGTCCATACATTGTTTTTGGAGGAGGGAGCGCACATTATGCTCCATTGCATGCTGGACGGGATAGTGTTGCAGGACTGATCTGGCCGCAAGCCTTGTATGACAGGTCAGTCTCTGTCTGTCACTGTCAGAGCCCATCCTGTGGTCAGACCCAATGCCACCACTAGATGGGAGCAGAGAGCCATCTCTAGGTACTTAGAGACAACTGGTCACACCTGTGTTCCACTCTACTTAAGAGTGGCTCTTTGTTCTGTGCTCAGTCATGAGTTTGCATGCTATGTGCACACACCTCTTGATCAAGCTGGTATTTGGGTAATTGCTCTCAAGTCTCTCAGAGTTTGCTCCTGATCCCTCTAAGCCTGGCTCTCGAGTCACTTGTGACAACAGCATAAGCACTAAATAATAAAAGAAAAAAAAAATCAATTAATAAAAAAGACAGAGGGAATAAAGTAAAAAAAAGTTTTGAGTTACTTCCATACCTGAAAGCCTGGGTTCAATTGCACATCTGGATGAGCTGTGTCACTCCTTGTATTTGACATATGGGGATTCAAATGGTTTTTACTTTTTCCTAATAAAAAATGAATGGGGGCACAGATATAGTTGCACACGCATCCATGTGCACTGGCTAGATTAGAACACCTGGATCTTTGTGCTGATAGATCGACACAAAGAAAATGATGACATTTTATGAAAGAGATTATTTGGCTTTGCAGAGATTTCTGTGAATTTTTCCCAAGAATGTATCCACCTGAGATCTATGGCAGAGTGGACATTTTTAACTAAAGTTAGTGTCTGATGAGCACATGATTGACCTTCAATAAGTCTTGTGTTGAATTGTTCAAGATGACCTTACACTCTTTCACAAACATAATTTAATATTCGGAAATTTTGTAAACTAACTGAATATTTTACTGTTAAAATCTGTTTTATTTAAATGACATGTATAGAACACTTTTGATGAATCTGTGAATTTCACAGGAATATTTTGAATTTATGAACTGGAGATAAGAACTGTACTTGCTATTTATTAGTGATCCCAGCTGGAATCTGTGGACTTGTAGGATTAAAATATGACATATAGATTTTGGGTTCAGAAATGCAACACACTGGCAGCCTGGCAGCTCATGTCATGGAATTCTATGGAAAAAAGTATGAAAAGTATACTTTTTAGCAAAATTTCATAACTGTGCTCCAAATAATTTTGTAATCATTAAAAGTGATATATTTTTTAATATCTACCTGGCTAACATTTTATTTTTATTTTTAATTTTTTGGTAAATATTGCAAATTTTTATCTTTGATTAAACACATAATAAACATTATCCCACTTGTTGTTTCTTTCTCCACAGAGCTACAAGCTGAGATGGCTTTACACTCAGAGTTAAAGAGCAGAGAAGATTTTCTGCAATGTATGTGAAAACACATACACAATAAACACACACATGCTTATTGAAATATGAATATTCAATTTTTTTAATTAAAAATAAAATAAAGTGTCTGAAATAAGAAACTACAGAAGTGGGGGAAGGAAGAAAGCAGATATTGATAGGTTTCTACTAAAAAAAGCACTTTTTTGTGAAGGAAACCATTAAATGTTCATATTTCTTTTCCTCTTTGTTAGATTTCTGTCGGCTAACTCTGGATCCCAACACAGTGAATCAGAACTTCAGTCTGTCTGAGGAGAACAGAGTGGTTACAAACACCAAGACATACCAGTGTTACCCTGATCATCCAGAGAGATTTGACTTCTGGTGTCAGGCATTGAGTAAGGAGAGTGTGAGTGGACGCTGTTACTGGGAGGTTGAGTGGAGCAGTGAAGGATATGTGTACATATCAGTCTCATATAAAGGGATCAGCAGGAAAGGACGAGGTGATGAGAGCTGGTTTGGACACAACAGTCAGTCCTGGAGTCTGCAGTGTTCTCCCTCTCTCTCTTTCTATCACAACAACATTCAGACTGAGATCTCAGCCTCATCATCCTCCAGAATAGGAGTGTATGTGGATCACAGTGCAGGAACTCTGTCCTTCTACAGCGTCTCTGACACAATGACCCTCCTACACACAGTCCACACCACATTCACTCAGCCTCTCTATGCTGGATTCTGGGTTAACCCAGGAACAGTGAGGCTGTGTGATCAACAATAATGTGTCCACTGATTATTCTAGTTACCTACCATAGTTACAGATTATTCACATTAACCCTCATATTTCTACATATGTACTTATTGCTTTTTCACATTAAAAGATTATACTGTAAGGCAAAACACTAAATGTCATGTTTTCTGTTAGTATTTATTTTTATGAAATCACTGCAGTTTTTTTTCATGTTCCATTTCCCCTCTTAAATGATGAGCATAAGATTTGAGACAGTTCTCTAATCTGTAGTTCTGATTAATTACATGTTTCCAGGCTCACTAAATGAGATCCGAATATAACAGAGGTATGAATGTGAACTCTTGGTTGTAGCTTTTATGCTTTTCATATTTGTTTTTGGAGTCAGGGGGCATGAACAGACCCTCAGTAACTCAAAAACTACAACCCCGTTTCCAAAAAAGCAAAATGTAAATAAAAACAAAATTCAATGATCATTTAAATCATTTAAACCCTATATTTCATTGGCAATACTACAAAGACAACTAATCAGATGTTAAAATTGAGAAATTCTATTATTTTTGAAAAATATATGCTGATTTTGAATTTGACGCCAATAACACATTCTAAAAACGCTGGGACGGGGGCCTGTTTACCACTGTATTTCATCACCTCTTCTTTTATCAACACTCTGTAAGCGTTTGGGAACTGAGGAGACACTGCTGTAGTTTTGAAAGTGAAATGTTTTCCCGTTCTCGTTTGATATAGAATTTCAGCTGCTCATCAGTTCAGGGTCTCGTTTGTCGTATTTTTCATTTCATAATGTGCCAAATATTTTCAATGGGGACAGGTCTGGACTGCAGGCAGGCCAGCTTAGCACCTGGACTCTTTTAATATGGAGCCATGCTGTTGTAATACATGCAGAATGTGATTTTACATTGTCTTGCTGAAATAATCAAGGCCTTCCCTGAAAAAGACATGGATGTCTGGATGGCAGCATATGTTGCCAAAACATGTACATATCATTCAGCATTAATTGCGCCTTCAATATTGCTATACAATTGCAATACAAAATATTGATTCGTCGGATCCACAGGACACTTTTCCACTTCAGTTAATAGACATTAACTGATTATACTGATTATAAAATTGAATTATTATAAACAATATGTGCAGTGAATGAGGCTACCGTAAAAAAGAAGCCCAGTAAAGTGAGTCAGTGCTGTGAAGCTGCGCAGCTGAAAGGAGTCTGCTAAGGTAACTTAGCTGACGGTGTAAACTTAGATTAACAACTCAGTACAAAACACACTGTGTTTCATGGTGATAATCCACTGTTTAATACTCGTTTAAGTGTTAAATATGTTGATTAAACGTGCTAAAATGCATTTTAACTGGCTGTGAAAGTTTTCACACCACTCACACTCGCATCCCTGGGTTTCCCCACCCACCGTGTTCGTGTGGCGCTGGGGGGGTCGGTCACTATTTGCATAGTTTTGATGTCCAAACCCAGGTTAGATGGTCTTTCCAACCGATTTGATGGAAAAAGGCATATGTGATAATGTCTCAGATGCATCTATGACAAATGTCAAGAAAGTGTTTTTTTTTATTACACAGAAATATTTGCAAGTGTACGGAATACTGAAGTGTACGGAATACTGGAGTGTGCGGAACACCGTGCTCTTACGGATAAGCAGTAAAATAAACGATCAGCGAGCGGATTTTGGGAAGACCTCAATACTAAAACCGTAAGAGGTTAACCTGAAACCAAATGACACCACTGCGTTTAGCCTGCCCCATATAGCGCTGCTTCCCTCAAAGATTACAGCGGCAATATACTTTACTACACCATTTCAAACGATTAAACCATCTGAAACGAATCACTGTTAACCAACTGAACTGACCAGAGGAATAAAGGCTGTAACGTTACCTGAAAACGGAGCTGAGCTTCCACTCACTCCTTCAGCCATCGGGACTGGAGAGGGCGCATGCGCACTACATCGAATCGACTGGTCTCCTACTCGATGCATTCTGCCTCTGACCCCAATGAAGTATTTTTGACAGTCGTTTCTCGGTTTTAGATCCGTATTCATAACTAAGTTATGAATATAATTTAATAATTAAAGTCGTATGCATGAATCGTTATGGTTGTAGATTTTGCAGCTGTATTTTCACAAACCACACACAGCATCACGACATTATGCTTTTTATGTGCGGTTTAATCTGTACGTGAATGTATGAAGACTTTCGTGTACAACGAACATGTTTATGTACAGATGTAGATGAGCACGCACGCGCTTTTTTGACAGCAATCTTACTCCATAGAGTTCCGGCTATTCAAATCCCTCCACATGTAGCCACTCCCACTCTGCTGCTCCTTCCTTTTAGAGAAAACGAAACTGATCTCAGAGAGCTGCTCTCTCACAGCCTGTGAGCGCAGGAAAATGGCAGAGGCCAGTATTTCAGTAGATCAGGACCAGTTCAGCTGTCCAGTCTGTCTGGATCTGCTGAAGGATCCAGTAACGACTTCCTGTGGACACAGTTACTGTAAGGTGTGTATTAATGGCTGCTGGGATCAGGATGACCAGAGGGGGGTCTACAGCTGCCCCCAGTGCAGAGAGGCTTTCACTCCAAGGCCTGTTCTACGCAGAAACAACATGCTGGCTGAAGTGGTGGAGAAACTGAAGAAGACAGAACTCCAAGCTGCTCCTCCTGCTCACTGTTACGCTGGACCTGGAGATGTGGAGTGTGATTCCTGCACTGGGAGAAAACACAAAGCCATCAAGTCCTGTTTGGTGTGTCTGGCTTCTTATTGTGAAACTCATCTCAAACCTCACTATCAGTCTCCTGCCTTTAAGAAGCACAAGCTGGTCGAAGCCTCCAAACAGCTACAAGAGAAGATCTGCCCTCAACATGGTAAACTGATCGAGATCTACTGCCGTACTGACCAGCAGTTCGTGTGTTATTTGTGTACGATGGATGAACACATGGGACACAGTACAGTTGCAGCTGTAGCAGAAAGAAAAGACAAACAGGTGAGAAGTTTGAAATTCTGATCTAGAATCTGATTCTTTACTGAATCACACACTTTATACAGGTGATCTGTTTATTGGATAATGATACTGTTAGCAACAAATTAGTCAAACCGGTCAGCAAACCTCACCAGCCAACGCGCGTCTTCCAGCATATTTACAGCTTTATTGTGCTCACATGTAGAACTAGAGTGAACTTGAACTGCTGTTAATATGAACCAGAGTACAAATTCTTTCTCCTCAGAATCAGCTGAAGGAGATGGAGAGGAAATCTCAGCAGAGACTCCAGGAGAAAGAGAAGAAGCTGCAGGAGGTGAAACAGGCTGTGAAGACTCTTAAGGTGAGTAGTGAGCAGAGATCTGCTGGAGCAGCTGTTTCACAGCTCAGTCAGACTCTCCTCCAGTCAGACAGTGAGGAGTCCAGTGTTGGACACTTAGAGATCCTACACTGCCACAATGTGGACAGTGAGTCATCTAGAGTCCCAGTGAGAGAGTGAATGATAGCTGGTGTGTAAATGGAGCTCCATCTTGTGTGTGTGTTGTAACAGAGCTCTGCACAGGCAGCAGTGGAGGACAGTGAGAGGATCTTTACTGAGCTGATCCGCTCCATTGAGAAAAAGCGCTCTGAGGTAACAGAGCTGATCAGAACTCAGGAGAAGGCTGAGCTGAGTGGAGCTAAAAAACTTCTCAAGCAACTGGAGCAGGAGATTGCTGATGTAAAGAGGAGAGACACTGAGCTGGAGCAGCTTTCACACACAGAGGATCACATCCATTTCCTACAGGTAACCAGCACTGAATCGCAGAAAGGTTCTAAAATGTCTCTTCACATAAAATGGTAATCAGAATATCTCTATGATTCTAAAGAGGTGTGTTTTGATAGATAATGGAAGTTATATCAACAAAAATATATTCTTAATTACAATTCAAATACAGTCAAAAGCAAGAAAAAAAGTCTCTGCCCTGCAAGGTGATTGACAGGGTTGAGGAAACAGCAACACAGCACATAAAAAAACAACCTCATGACAGCATCATTATGCATAATCAAGTTGGTTGGCAATCAGGATTGACAGACTGTATGATACTATACTAAATCAGCTTAAGCCTAGGTGATGTTCTTTTTTATTTTTGGCCTTGAAAGTCTAAGCTTTGGCTGCCAGAAGATCAACGTTCAATCCCCAGCGATGCCACAGCCATCCGTAGCTGAGAGTCCAAGAAAGTTTGTTGGATAGGATGGTCCTCCCTCTCCTCCATCACATAGTGTAATGCTTACCAGCATGGGTGTTTGTAAGCTGACATAACAGAATTGTCAAGTCAAGTCAAAGTTTATTTATATTGCTCTTTTAACAACAGGTGTTGTTACAAAGCAGCTTTACAGAAAAATCCGGGTCCGAGCCCCCATGAGCGTCGCCAATGGCGACAGTGGCAAGGAAAAACTCCCCAAGAGCAAGAAACCTTGAGAGGAACCAAGACTCAAAAGGGGAACCCATCCTCCTCTGGTCAACACCGGAGAGCAAACAGCATTAGTATAAAATATTAGAATTCCAAACAGGGAACAAACAGTGGAGCAGTGGTTAATTAGATAGTTTAATTTATGCAGCAGCAGGAGGGTCAGTTCATTAGTGTGAGGTTTGCACAGTGTTGTACAGCATGAAGCTCAATGGTGGTCAAAACAGTCCAGAAGGCTGGCAAGCAGTGGGCACTCGATCAAGACAGAACTCGATCAAGGCAATTGTCAGTTAGTGTTCTCCTCCAAGCATGTTGAGCTATTTAGTAGCAGTTTGAAAAGATGTGGTGGCGCTTCATGTGTCTCTAAGGAAGCACATGATAGCCTTCACCATCCCAGACTGGCAGCATTGTGTACTAATGGGTGGAAAATGGTCATATTAACAAGGTCTCGCCAATTTTTGTCCCCAGCAAAATGGCAGTGCAAATGAAAATTTGCAGTGCTGAGTTTTAAATTGATGAACAAATCTTTTATAGCATCACTGCCAGCATACCGCAGACATTAGAGTGATCACACGCACATACAGTAATGTACTAATTGTCAATTTACAGTTAAAGACCTTTACTGATGAATAATTGTTGTATTTGCTCTTCTTCACAACCTAGCAAGCCAAGAAGTGTGGAGAGAATGCACCATTCTGATTTCTTAGTTTATAATGATGCAGCTCGTGAGATGATGTTGTCCTCCCAGACCCCTTTCAGTATAACTACACCTGTTTGTGTACTTAGTGTACTTTTATTCTTTGTTTCGTAAAAAAAATGAATGAGCTGAAATAATATAACCCTTTTTCTAAGACCATTCACTTTCCGACTGTTTATTGCTGGGAACACTTGTATGCAAGTTACTAAAAGGGGATTTGCATGTTAGGGCGGAGCTGAAAAGCTGGTTTGTGTGTGCTCAATTCTACAGTCATGTGTGATTTATAAATTGCATATCAAAGTTGAAGGTGTATATTCAGTTTATGGCTGGGCAACATTACAACATTTTATATTATCATGATAAATTATGTCACAATATGTCACAATAAGCTTTTCTGAGCATGTCGTAGATATCAACAGTACCTAAAAATACTTTCCAACTGCATATTTGATTACAAAAAAAGCTTGATAAGTCTTGATAAGACATAGTGCAGTGCAGTATGTGAAATGTTAAATACAGTAGTTTTTTTATTATATTTTTTAACGTAGCACTTTTTTTCTGTTCCAACTTACCAGGTGTTGGAAAAAATAAATAGTGTCGTGTGGTGTATCGTGAAAAGATGTCAAAGTGTCATGATCTTACATTTTTGCCATATCGCCCACTTCTAATTCAGTTGCACATTTGTTCATATAAATCATTTGGATGCAAATTCTGAGAATGTTTCTTGGGAACATTTAGTATGAAATTCATGTATACATTTGAATGAGAACCTTTGGGTTCAAATTAAGAATATATTTACGAGAAAAAGCTGGTGCACTTCAAAAAAATGAAAACTTGACTGATTTAAAGGCAGATAGCATCGAAAGCTAAGCAGTGATTGGAGGGCTAAGAAAATGATGTGGGGCTCAAGTAGGCATTGATAAGAAACAGAAGTGATTATGCATTACATAAGAAGCAGAGATGATTCAGGGTTCCCTAAAACACAGGGCCTGTATGTAAGCGTATACCCTTCATACCCAGCTGCTACGCCCCTGACCGCTAATTTTGGGGACCACAATGAAAATAAGCTCTAGGGCTGTACTGTGTTTTAATTCTCGATGATTTCAATGTGTGTAATTGCTTCTGTGCATGTTTTTATCATCAAATATATTCAATCACTTTTACCTTTGCCTAGCATTTTTATCTTTCTCTCTCTCTCTCTGTAGAGTTTCCAGTCTCTCTGTGTCTCTTCTGGATCTGAGGACTCACCCAGCATCACTGTCCATCATCATCTCTCATTTGATGGAGTGAGGAAATCTCTCTCTGATCTGAAAAAGCGACTAGAGAAATTCCTTAATGAAGAATTCAGCCAAATCTCTCTATACAGTAAAAGAACCGTTCCTAATGTGAAACCTGTGGATAGAAGTCTTTTCTGGAGTAAAGGTGAGCTGTAAAACTTCTCAAACTCTGTAGAAATCAGGAGACTGGTCTGTTATATTGGCTGTACAATTAGTGTCGTTATCCTGTTCAAACATCCATCTTCTCAGATTCAGATTCAGTCTCTTGGCTCTTGTGTCCCAGCACTCTATTCATGTTTCCCTCGATGAGGAATGTCCCAGTACCATTTGAAGAAATTCAGCCCCGTATCATGATGCTCCCACCTTCGTACTTCACTGCGTTTGGTGTTCTTGGAATCACATGCACAGCTTTTTTCCATACATGACAAGCTGAACATTGGCAAAGAGTTTTATTTTTGTGTCACATGAATAGAGAAGATTGGGCCTCATTCATCAACCGTTCTCAAATTTTTTCCTTAAACCCACTTATGCAGTTTTCATGAAGACTCTAACGTTCACCAATGTTTACTTATTTGTTATTAGGTGAGGACAGAATCTACACACACGAGAGCACAAAGGTGTGAACAGTTCTGCGGATTAAGAACAGGTCATGAATCTGACGTAGACTTTTTCTTAGGACATTTCTCAAGAACAAATTTAAGAAAAAACTGATAATTATATTGATAATTAAGGCCCATTGTTCCAAATGATTTCTGATAGGTCTAAATGTTCATGTGCATATTGTAGACATGTGGCGCACTTGGCCAAGTTGTGGTTCCATGTCCTTTCCCCTCGCACGTTTTCAGACCAGTTGTACTTAGAGGCATGTTTAAGGTCTTTGCTAGGGGGCTGTGCCTTGTCCATGCTTCTGTGTTGTTAATGCATTCCTTGTTGTTAAATAATGTTGTTTCTGAGAATTTTAGGAAGCTCCTTCACCTTCTTTATGATTGCTGCTTGTTATATAATATCTTCCCAATTAGTAGCAACATCGTTGAAAACGGCACCAGGCGCATTTTCTATTTTCTTTAGTATTAATATCTAGAATATAGTGACTGAACACTTTTTCCCTGACTGTTTCTTCTTTTAAACATATATTTGTTCATGTTTATATGCAATGAGTCTCATTCATTTTTAGATTTTTCTTTTCTTTCTTTACAGTTGCAGCTCAGGTGATTTCAGCCTCAAAGCCAAGAACCAGAGAAGATTTTCTGCAGTGTATGTTATTTATACTCAAGCATATGCCTTTCTTGCCTTAATACTGCACATTAGACAATGTCTAAAATACAAAAGCTACAAATGCAGAAAGACGGAAATAGTTACTTGTCTTCAAAAGTATTTTATTTTCTGTTTATTTTATTAATACAAATATAACACATCATTCTAGAGTAATTATATAAAAAAAAATGATTAAAAAAGATTCTATAAAATGTTTTTGTTCTAAAAACATTCTATAAAAAAAACTAAATATTTCTTTCCTTTTTGTTAGATTACTGTCGGCTGACTCTGGATCCCAACACAGCAGGTTATTACCTCAGTCTGTCTGAGAATAACAGAGTGGCTACAGAGCGTGGGAGATTCCATCATTACCCTGATCATCCAGAGAGATTTGACTACCATTTTCAGGTGTTGAGTAAGGAGAGTGTGAGTGGACGCTGTTACTGGGAGGTTGATTGGGGCAGTAACGGATATGTGGACATAGCAGTCTCATATAAAGGGATCAGCAGGAAAGGACAGAATAATGATAGTGAGTTTGGACTCAACAATCAGTCCTGGAGTCTGCAGTGTGAGTTTTCTTGCATGCAGCATCTCACTTTTTTGCACAACAAAGTTAAAACTAAGATCTCAGGCTCACCATCCTCCAGAATAGGAGTGTATGTGGATCACAGTGCAGGAACTCTGTCCTTCTACAGGATCTCTCGCACAATGACCCTCCTACACACAGTCCACACCACATTCACTCAGCCTCTCTATGCTGGATTTAGGCTCTATGGAGGATCTATTAGGCTCCTAAATCCACGATAATCTGTTGCGTCTGTTGTATATTAGTGTAACCTTGCAGATAGATGTTAAACAGTGATTCTTATTATTTTATTATTACATTATTAAATTGTTATACAGTACAGTTTTTTTATTTTGCAGCATAAATAGAAAAAAATAAATAGACATAATAAACTTTTCAGTATTTAGTGTGTCCACTCTTTACCTTTATTACAGCTTCCATTCTTTTCCGGAGACTTGCTTTCAGTTTTTCAAAGTAATCTGCAGGGATATGTTTCCACACCCAAAGTTCAGTCTTAGAAGTTGGTTGCATTTTCTGCTTTTTGCAATCCAAGTAATCCCAATTTACACATTTAGGCTGATAAGTTTTTAGAACCTTATTCCACATCTCACTGTCCATTGTCAGTGTTGTAGTGCAAACTTTTTTATCTATTGTCTGTTCTGAGTGAGGCTTCTTGACAGCTACACATGCTTTCATACCCATAGCGTTGTCCTCTCAAAGTGGAAGGATGGACAGAAACATCCATGAAAGCAAGAGTAGACCTTGATTTTCTCCTTTTGGTGGTTTCATAGGTCTTGCAGGTGGTTGTTAGGAGTCTCATTTTCTCTTTATCTTTTAGGCTTTGTTCACACAGCAGGTAAAAGTGGTCCAAATCCGATCGTTTTCTTCATATGTGACACAGATGTGTGTCTGTGTGTCAGTGTGAACAGCAAAAAACACACTGAATCTGACATTTTTAATTCCAATTTGAGACACTTTAATATGTGGTACTGAAGTCCGATATGTATCTGATCTGTAGCAATGCTACTCAGTCTGAACAGCCAGATCGGAATTCATGCGACTTTGTCATCAACATCAATCCAACTCAACATTCGTCATAATTTCGCGCTGCTGAGACTCATAAACATTTAGGTTGATGTTTCTGCACTAAAAATGTGAAAAGACTTATCGCAACCGCTCCGCGTTTGAAGAGATTTTGAAAGAAAAGGTCAAATGCGGTTGTAAGAGAAAGAGGCTGCAGCGTCAAAGAACAGTTAAAAGGCTGAAAGCAAAGTTTAAAGAATCCGAGGACACAAACCAAAAAAGTGGTCGCTTCTTCTTTTTACGGTGAGCTCGAACTTATTCTGCGTGATGAGCCCAGCTGTCAATCAATGAAGCTTCATGATGGCTCCTGTGATGCTGGTGAAGATGAAACTGAACCCTCCGGGAGCGACTGGCGTTCATTGGCAGTCATGATTACCTCTGGATGAGCCGCGTGAAGCAACGTGAAGCTCTGTTCTTTTGCGCATGCGGGTCAGTTTAGGAGCTGATCTGTTAAGACTGATGTCGCATTCAGATCACATTTAAAAGATAATGTGAACAGCCAAACAAAAAAATCGGATTTGGTGAAAAAATCAGATTAGGGCCACTTTTACCTGCTGTGTGAATGTAGCCTTAGTCATTTTTTGAACTCCAGTTTTGGAAACTCCTGTTTTTTTTGGCTTATCTTCATGTATAAGTGAAACTGATATTGTCACTGATATCATCACCAAAACCTCATACTTTCAAAATGGTAATTTTACAGGAGAAGCCAAAAATATTCTTGACTAGCAATTTAAGTTTGTGTAACAACTTTAGGACCGTTTGTATTGGTCCATTCATGGTGAAATTTGAACACAATGCAAAGGGTAACTAGTGTTTTTAAAAAAAATGAAAAACAACAACAATGGAGGTATAAGATTTTGGCAGGACAGCAGCGATATTTTCCTTTGACTTTCTTCTTTCTTATGCAAGTGGATTACTGTATCTTATATGAGATATATCTCATTTCTTTAGAAACATCCAGAAACATCTCCTTTAGCAATTTTAGATACATATAAAAATGATTGGAAGAGTACCCTTGTGATAAATGGTGATGTTTTGACTTGAAATAAAATAAAAGGGCAAAAAATGAATACTTTATTACCGATATTACAGTTAGAGATTATTCCCACCACACTTTACACTATTATATATATGCACTACATTTTTGTCTTCAGGAGGTGTGTGTGTGTCAGGTTTTTCTCTATTCCTTATCCGTTGCCGGTTTCCTAAAAAAATAAGCTTATCGATGCATAATTGACCATAAATGTGGACCTTATTCGTGACCACTTGAGGCCTTGTACTCACTCAGGCACTCAGGAGTTAAATGGAATGTCATGAGATTGAGTGGCTATAGCTGGTTCTGTTGTCAGGCATAGCTAGACAGTGAAATGACATACTTCCTTTACATGATCAATGAAGTACATAACAGCAGGTTTTCAGCATGTGTGTTTATTGTTATGAAATTACAGTTTAATGTCCATGTACCGCTATCCTATTTTGTATCCATATTTTATGATATTCATAAGATCTGAGACAGTTATGAAGTCTGTAATTCTGATTGATTCAGTGTTTCCAGTTGAACGAACATAACAGATGTATGAATGTGTGGGTTTAGTTTTTTGTGCTTGTGTTTCACGTTTGCTTGTGGACTCACTTAGTAACTCAATAGCTCAATAAAAAAGATGAGTGCAAATCTCAAATTATTAACAAAACACATGTAAATAAATAAAAACACACATCTTTTAAAAAATGCTTACAGCAAATATGCAAAAACAAGTTGCAACACAAACATCCTTTTCACTTTTATATTATCAAGTGGAGGTTTTGAATGTGTGAGCAAGGAAACTCATAATGACCACAGAGGAAGTGATATTGGCTGGTAATAAACTGAATTAATTAATTAATTGTTTAGCAATGTGTCAATGTTACCTACCGCTTATACAACACAAATAACTTTTTTGTGCCACTGTACAAATGGAGGACACTTCAAATGAACAAATGAACTGGACTGGGGAACAAATGACCATTTCAGTATGAAAGTGTTTATAAGCTGTTAACATCAGCTTCAGCTCTCAAAGCCACACAGCTAAATACACTATTATACTGAACAGTCTGTGGAAGACGTGTGTGTGTGTGTGTGTGTGTGTGTGTGTGTGTGTGTGTGTGTGTGTGTGTGTGTGCTTATTTCTGCCGAGTTATCTCTTTCTGAAGTTCCTTTACGTAACTGTGGTCCTTCCCATGAACAATCTCCATAATGTCCAGAGCCTGAAACACACAGACACAAACACACACATAGTTCAAACTGACAGAATTTTACAAAGTAAACTATTCCAAACTATAACACACATATCATTGCGGTAACACTTTCTTTAAATACTAGGTCAATAAAAATGAATACACACATTCATAACAGGTTCGTAAGGCTTTATAAACATGGCTGTAAATGTTTATGAAATTATGAAATCCCTTATTAAGGATAAAATAAATTGTCTCACTTTACTTAGAGCTCACAAATACAACTTAAGCTCTTGTAATTGGGGCATAATAATATCTGTCTATCATTAATACCCATAATGACAAACAGTCATGGGGCAGTCATGGGCTGGAGGTTAGGGAACCAGCCTTGTGACCGGAAGGTTACCGGTTCGATCCCCTGAGCTGACAGTATGTGACTGAAGTGCCCTTGAGCAAGGCACTTAACCCCTGACTGCTCCATGGGCGCTGTGGATAGGGCTGCCTACCGCTCCGGGCAAGTGTGCTCACTGCCCCCTAGTGTGTGTGTGTTCACTAGTGTGTATGTGGTGTTTCACTGCACGGATGGGTTAAATGCAGAGATGAAATGTCCCCATTGTGGAACTAATAAGGGTCAGTTAACTTAATAAGAAATACTGTCATTTTGCTTTTGAAGATTGCAAAGACAAGTTACAGTATATTAAAAATGACTATAAGCTACGATTTCTTTCCAGATGTGTATAATTCATAAGTCATAGCATGGCTCAAGGTGTGTTTATGAGTGGGCTGGTTGTAGTTGTAATGCACTATGCAGGCTGGGACTGAGTTTCTTTGCCACTAACAGCATAAAATGTTATGAATGCCACTTATAATGCATTATGTTAACAATCCATGATGTATAATAAACATGGATATAACATGTAATGCACTTGTATAAACATTTGTAGCGATGTTTATAAGGCATTATGAATGCATTATAATGTGTTATGAATGTGTTCATAGATGCTTTGGGGTGGGGGCATTCAAAATTTGCTGATGCAGCGTTATTGGACAGTACAGGCACGTACACTCTGAATGACCTCATGTTGGCCTGTTACCTTTTTGAGGGCAGTAGATGCTGCAGACGGATGGCCCAGAGCCACGTAGAGCCTCCCGAGCTTCAGGTACATGGAGGCGACATTCAGGGAGTAGGCTGGATACAGCTGACTGCAGAGAGGACAGACAAGCATATAGCATATATCTGATCATATATCAGTCATATAAGATAGTTTAAGAAAGTACAGTACTGGGAAAAAGTTTTACGCAGTCATGAAAATTATTTAAAATATTTATCTTGGCATAAAGTGCATTTTTGCTTGTAAAGACTATGAAATTTGAAAAAAAAAAGTCTACAGTTAAAAAAAGTAGAATATTTTGTTTATTAGTATGTTGATTAGAAGAATACAGTTAGAGGAACACAGGTTTGGTTCCTGACATCAGGTTTTGTTTTGATACTGATGATAAGCTAATGCACGAAAGCAGGTTTTAAAATTTTTTATAATGTAATTTATTTCTGGATACACATTTTATTGTAACTCATTCTTTTATTAATTTTATTAGGACTTCAGTCTAGATATTCATTTTATTCTAAAGTTGTTTGGGATAGAAATTTAATTACAACTTCAGTTCAATATAAATTCTAATAAGTTCTTAAGTTCATTCCACATACTTATTAAATTATAACATCATTCTGAATATTAATCACAATAGAACTTCATTCTAGATTTTAGATGGATTATGACATCATTCAGGATAACCGTTTTATTAGAACATCATTCTGGATATTAATCTTACTGGGACTTCAGTCTAAATATTAATATTCTACATCTGGATATTTATTTTTTGTATTCATTTTCAGTATTTATTTTATTGTATATTAATTTTATTTTAACTTTATCCAGGACGTTAATTTTATTAGAACTTCAGTTTTATTCTTAAGTTGTTCTGGGTATTAATTTTATTGTAAATTTATTTGAATAAAAAATATTATTATTGTAACTTAATTCTAAACATTAATCACATTAGAACTATTCTGAATATAACCTCATTCCAAACATTAATTTATTAGAACATGTTCTGGATGTTAGTCTTATTAGGTCTAGATATTAATTTTATTCAAATGTTGTTCTGGATATTCTTTTTATTGCAGGTTCATTCTTAGTATTAAGTTTATTTTAAATTGATTCTGGATAGTAGGGGTGGGAATCTTTAGGCACCTCACGATTCGATTACGATTCAGAGGGCTGCAATGCGATTATAAAAGGATTATCGATCTTTTTTCCCTATACAGGATTTCTATCTTCCTACTGTCTGAGGACTTGGTAGTTTTAAAGCAAAGTATTTGTAATGATCCATAATGTAAATGCATTATGGATCATTACAAATACTTTGCTTTAAATATCTAAAATATCTTTTATTAATAAATCAAATGGAAGTGATGTGGCAAGTGAACTAAAAGGCTCTCATTCAGAGACGCTGCTGCCACTCGTCTGCGATAAAATGCGCTGTTACCCTGAAATAAGATCCAGTGGTAATGGGTGACCACGCAACACGTTACAGCCACCCTTTTGGTCTCGTTGTAGAGAGTGGGGGGGGTATTTTCGAGACTGGACGCTGAATCTCGGCTCCATAGTGTGCAGCATAACGCGAAAGCCCTGGTTCTCAACGACTGAGAACAGACAGCAGACAGCAGGTCACATAGCCCCGAGGTCTGGCCTCGCCAGTAGCGAATGAAAAAACAGGTTAAGACGAACATTTGGAGGACTTATTCGCATTTATAAGCAGCGCGGTTGGTTAAATCTGCTGAGAGACTGTCTTTCTCTAAAAAGTTGCGAAAATGAACTCGCTTCTCTTTCGAATTTTCCCGTTCCACCTTAAATGGTGCAGCAGTTACATTCGACGCCTAAGGCAGAATTTAAGGTGGAACGGGAAAATTAGAACGAGAAGCTGGCGAATGAGAAGCGACTTCAGCCTCGTAAAACAGCCGGACGCCGAGACATTTTACAAGAAACTCTTCTAGTTTTGAGGAAAAGTTTTCTGGCGGAGATGGGAGGAAAGCGGCTAAAGCTAAAGCTTAAAGCAGAGCGAAGTAAATCTGCGCTCTCGTTTATATTGTTTAGCCTATACTAGGACATTAATACATACTGGACATTAAATGTTGTGGCTCCAAAGCTGGTTTAACTTTGTTGAAAGGCAAAATGTCTCTTGTTAACATTTGGGATGCGACCCCTAACCTGGCTTTAATGCAGAGGTAGCCGGTCGGATTTCTCACTCATCCAGTGGTGTTTTTGTTATGTGCCGCCACAGACTGTCCGGGCGCTGCGCTTACCCACTTCCAAGTTCCGCCTTTTGCGTTCCGTCAACATTACGTTATAAATTAAATATTTAGAAAATCGATTTTTGACATTTATGAATCGATTCAGAATCGTTCACGTCCGCATGTTAATTGAATTCGAACTTTGTTCTAGATACTAATTTCATTTCAGCATCATTTTGGATAATAATCTGTTTTATAATCATAAAAAGACTATAATCTTATTAGAACCTTTATAGCTTTCTCCATCATTGAGGAATCTACAGCTCCTTTTGAACCATAGTGCTTCTGTGTGTATTTGAGTGGACGCTGCATCCTAACCTGAATGGCTTGATGACCTTCTCGCCGTAGCTCAAGGCGCTGTCATAGTCCTCCATGAACAGACACACCCCCATGGCTTGGTACATCATGTGCAGCATGTACACATTAGCGTCATCAAACACTGCACCCATTTTATCCATGCTCAGCTCGCACATCTCCAGCAGCTCAGCAGGGGGCGCTCAGGAGTCAAGGAAACATTTACACATCCTAAACAACAGCAACCATTCTCTATGTTTCACTGCTTTCTACTGCTTGGAGCTTTTAGTATATCTGCTTATTTTAAACATGCGCACATCTGATAGAATGTTTATTACAAGCATCTTAATAAGCTGCCTTTTATATCAACAGTACAGTTTTGTTTTCCTCACCACTTATTAATGGCTTTTAAAGCTAAATGTAATTAGTGTTTTCAGTCACATGCCAATGTGTGGATAGTTAACACTTGGAAGAAAATACACATGAAATCTGTCCATAAAATATGTTGTACATCATTCTGAAGTCAGTGTCATGCTCTGGACCTACGTTGTTTTTTGTTGGAAAAAATGAACAGGGTTTTAGAAAATCAGCCTGAGACAGTCTGTTCTGTGTACATTTTTCCTGCAAATGTTACAGGATCCTGTTCATAAGGTCAAGAATTTAAAATATAAATTAGACTAAATACACACTATTAGGTTTAGTCTTTAAAAAAATGCCTTGACTGGAAGTTTGGACCAAGTTTCTTCAGGCTTTTTACAGAAGACTGTGGGTATAAAAAGGATATTTTTCTCGTGTTTGGCTCTGCGGAAGTCATCGATGATAGTCCGAGCATAGCGAACCATTTCCCTGACCTCCTGTGGACGGGGTCCATCACTCAGCTTTCTCAGCTTCATCTTAGCCTTGTCCTATATAACACACACACACACACACACACACACACACACACACATATGGGTGAGTGCTGAACTGATTCGCTGTAAGACAAACACATAAAAATGCACATGATGTGTACACATATATAATAATACATGAGTACAGTTGTATAATACACTCCCATGGAAAAAATAGGCCGAGCCTAAAATACTAATGCTTTTACTGGTGGTCTTGGCCTGGTCAGAGCCCACCGTTCGAAGCTGCTATTGCTGAGTGGAACAAATTGACCCTTCTTTCTGTAAAAGGTTGTCTGCAAGTACCCGCAAGACTTCAACATTTAAAGAAATCAAAGAGAAAAGCTCTCCCACAAAGTCCCTTAGTCTGTTTGTAATTATTGCTAACGGCCTGACTAATGATTTCTTATTAAAACCATTAAACACTTAATTTTTATGGGCCTTTTGGGCTTGGGCCATTTTTTTGGGGGGGTGTACTCAGTACTGAAATTATTTTTAACCCCTTAAGCCTTAGTGTGTGTGTGTGTGTGTGTGTGTGTGTGTGTGTGTGTGTGTTTGGTTCCACACTGCAGTTCTTCACTTTTACAACTATACAGCCATACACATTAGTTTCATACTAGTTACTGAATAATCTATAGTAGTTACTGAATAATTTACAGTAATAGCCAAATATTTCATAGTAATTACTGAATAATTTATAGTAGTAACTGGATGTTAGGAGAAGTTATAAGCTAGGGGTAGGTACTGGCTTTTATGTTGGAACCACATGGGGGCGCCAACCACCTCATGTATGCCTTTATGACTTGTGATGGGGCTCAGCCCAAAGGATGGAGACCAATGGTGGGAAAAGGTGTTTTTTTGGAACGGTGAGTAGTGGCATCTCTCTCTCTCACGCTCCTTTTTGCGGTCACTATTTTGGATTTTTGTTGGAGCGCCCATTCCATTGACTAACAAAACCTGAACGCTATCATGGACACGGCTTGAGCTGGTCGACCACGGGCTCATAGCTTGAGCTGGCCCCAGTCTTTTCCTGGTGATTTAGAGACTTGGGCTGCAGGTGAGTTGGCCTTTTGGTGGGGGTTTCCAACTAGATTTAGACATACACTCTTACTTTAGCTCATGTTTCATGCTAAGTCGCAACACGTAGGGACAGTGTGCCTTTGTTGCAGTCAGGACTACAATACATAAATAAGAACCGATGACAACTTTGCCATTCCTTTTGGCTTTAGTGGTTCCTGAGTCTGTAACACTGAGTAATTCAAAGTTACAAATGAATATTTCATAGAAGATATTCAATAATTTATAGTACTAACATATATTAAAAGCACCAAAAAGTGTTCTTCTATTGTAAAAAGCTTGACATCGTAACAATAAAAGAACCCTTTTTGGTGCTATATAGAACCCTTTCCAAACAGATTCTATATAAAACCATCCACATTTCAAAAAATTGTTCTTTAAGGGTTCTTTAGTAAAGACAGTTCTATGTAGAACCATGAACACTCAAAGAACCCTTTACATGTGTAAATAGTTCTTTGCTTTATGAAAAAGTTCTTTAGATTCATGGAGAATGTGCTATAAATGGTTCTATATAGAATCATTTGGAAAAGGGCTCTATATGGCACCAAAAAGGGTTCTTCTATTGTAACAAGCTTGACATCATAACCATAGATGAATCCTTTTTGGTGCTGTATAGAACCCTTTTCAAAAGAATTCTATATAGAACCATCTATAGCATATTCTCCAACAATCTGAAGAACACTTTGCATGCAAGAACCCTTTAATCATGCAAAGGGTTATTTGAGTGTTCATGGTTCTGTATAGAACCATTTTCGGTAATAAAGAACCCTTGTAGAGCCATGTCTTTTACAAGTGTACAGCACATTATCTAGCAATCTGAAGAATCATATCATGATGCAAAGAACCCTTTAATAATGCAAAGGGATCTTTGAGTGTTTACGGTTCTATGTAGAACCATTTTCTGTAATAAAGAACCCTTGTAGAGCCATGTCTTTTACAAGTGTACAGCACATTATCTATCAATCTGAAGAACCATTTCATGATACAAAGAACCCTTTAATAATGCAAAGGGATCTTTGAGTGTTTATGGTTCTATGTAGAACCATTTTCTTAACTAAAGAACCCTTGAAAAATTGTCTTTGTTAAGAGTGCAGTTACCAAATAATGTATTGTAGTTACTGAGTAATTAATAGTGAATACTAAGTAATTTATAGTGGCTACTGTATATTTCACAGCAGTTACAGAATAATACAGGTGTTTAATGAATAATTTATAGCTGTTGGTGATTAATATGTTTTAAAATAAAGAACTGAGTAACAAGCTTAAGGTTCAGGGGTTAATATGACTTCTGTATTAAAACACTTTATGTACTGAGTTATCACTTTAAAAGATAAGGCTAGCCTGTGTCTACAGGCCATTGTGTCAGAAACATCTACCATGTAAGTGCCCTTTGTAGGTTTGTAGCTCATCTGTTGATACTTCATTCATAGCTCCCCTACATCTCATTAACCAGTGGAAAAAGACCACCATAGGACCACCAATGATCAAATGTTATTTGGGTGGTGGATCATTCTGAGCACAGCTGACACTGCAGGGCCAGTTTGTGTGCTGCTGAGAAGAGTATATCAGACACAGCAGTGTTGCTGAGGTTTTTGCACACCTTAACAACACTGCTGGGTTGAAAATTGTCCATGAGCCAAAAATATCCACCCAACAGAATGGTCCTGTGGTCACAAACTGACCACTGATGAAAGGGTAGATGATGACTAACATAAGTTGTGCATAGAAAAAGATGAGATACAGTCTCTAACTGTACACCTACGAGGTACACCGACAAAATATTCGAATAAATTGGTCTTTGCATCAAACTCTTGAAGTGGGCCTAGGATTTGTAGTTCTGCCCCACCCCACCCCCACACACACCTTGGATTTGGTTTTGCACTCTCTGCAGCCACAGCTGAAGTAGTAGGAGTCTCTGAGCCTCTCAATCCTGTCTTCTGTTGGGTAGAGCAGGTCTATATAGCTGGTGTATATCTACATGAAATATAAACACAAATACAGGTTAAATCAAGTGTTAAAAATATGTGTTAAAATTTTTGGCAGTCATTGAGTGTTACATGCGTATATAACGGGTAACCAGTGATTCGAAATATTTAACACAGAACTAAAAATAGTTTTCCTCAGAATACAATCAAAAACAGGAAGAATGCATGCCATGAATTAGTAAGACATGGGAACAAGATAATTAAGTTGTAGCCACAACTTTGCAAGGTGTGAGAATGATACAGTTAAGTCATGGCCACAACTTGGTAAGGAATGGGAATGGGATCCTAATGCTTGGCCATGACTTAGTATGGGAATGAGATAGTTAAGCTGTGATCATAACTTAGTAAGGCATGGGAACAAGATAATTAAGTTGTGGTCATGACTTAGTAAGGCATGAGAACGAGATCATTAAGTTGTGGCCACGACTAATAAGGCATGGAAATGAAATCATTAAGCTGTGGCCATGATTTAGTAAGGCATGAGAACAAGGTCGTTAAATTGAGGCCATGACTTAGCAAGGCATGAGAAGAAGATCATTATGTTGTGGCCACAACTTAGTAAGGCATGAGAACAAGATCATTAAATTGTGGCCATGACTTAGTAAGGCATGAGGACAAGGTCATTAAGCTGTGGCCACAATTTAGTAAGTCATGAGAATGAGATCCTTAAGTTGTGGCCATGACTAATAAGGCATGGAAACAAGATCATTAAGTTGTGGCCACGGCTTAGCAAGGCATGAGAATGAGATCATTAAGTTGTGGCTATGACTAAATAAGGCATGAGAATGAGATCATTAAGTTGTGGCCACGACTTAGTAAGGCATAAGAACAAGATCAGTAAGTTGAGGCCACGACTTAGTAAGGCATGGAAATGAGATCATTAAGTTGTGACCATGATTTACTGAGGCATGGAAATGAGATAATTAAATTGTGACCATGGCATACTTAGTAAGCCATGAGAATGAGATAATTAAGTTGTAGCCATGACTTACTAAGATAAGGGAATATGATGATTAAGTTGTAATCACAACATACTTAGTAAGACATGGGAACAAGATAATTAAGTTGTGACCATGACTTAGCAAGGCTTGGGAGCGAGATAATTAAGTTGTAGCCACCACTTAGTAAGGCACAGGAAGAGGACAATTGAGTCATGGCCACAACATAGTAAAGCAAGGGAATGTGATAAAATCCCAGGCTTATTACAAACTAAGGCTTATTATTTCGTAACTACAGGGACTTCAATGCCAACAGACCGAGCTGTTCTTAGATTATAGACATGTGTAGTAAAACTTTGGGCCTGCCGGTGGGCCCTGGCCTTTTAAGGGGGTAAGTCTTAAGCCTTAATTATGTCTTAAAAGGTTCCCAAGACTTAGTTATCTCATTCCTATGCCTTACAAAATCATGGCCATGCATTAGGATCTTATTCTCATGCCTTAGTAAGTTGTGGCCACACATTATTTTTATTAAGAAAGGATGTCATTTATGGGACATCCATGCGCAGTGATAGATTTCAACAGTTCTCCTTAATTTGCCTTAATGGCCTACAATAATAAAGGCCAGGCGGCCCTCCTGCACAAACCTGCATGCTGCTAGGTTTGGATAACATGTAGACATTGGACTAAAACTGGAAGGTTAAAGTTTGTTTCCTAGAGGTTGGTTTTTATGTGGTATTAGCCAAATTTGGGGCAAAATAGCCTATTTTCAAACTGTTTTGAATAATCTATTTTCAACTTTCAAGATGCATTAATTTCAGTTCCCATAAACAGTAATCAGAAAACACTTAATGAAGAAGTTGCTTTTGTGGTACAGGGACAGTCTTCTGGGTGAATCTTGAGAAAAATCTGTCTGTTGATGTTGATATGGGAATATGAGAGGATGATCAAAGGTACATTCTACTTAAACTGTAAACTACATAAAAAAAGCCCTGTTAGATTTTGCCCCATGTTAGGTTGTGTCCTGCTCTCCCTTATGAGGATTAGAAACACAGTCCACATTGAAAGTCCATTGCTGTCAATGCTGCGGCCCACTGATCCAATGACCAGCACAGCTCAGGTCAGAATGGGGCATATCTGGGTTACAACAGGCATCATATTTCCTGAGTGTGTGCATCTGTGTGATGCAAGTTCACAAATCATGTTTTAAATAGCTCTGGATTTAGTTACAATCAGCTGTCGCTCTCACACACGTAGGCTCACACACACACACACACACACACGCACACACACAAATGCCATCATCTACGGTTCTACATGATTAACAGCCTACGGCTCCTGCACTTCCAGTCCTGTTACATAATCTTTTCCCCCAAACCTGCTCCATACTCATTCACCTTAAAATCCTATTTTTATCTTTGCCTTTGCTGTTTTTGCTTAAAAATATATTGTTACATTACACCATAAAGTAGAACAGCAAATATCAGCATTATAACTGAAATATACAACATCATGCAAACATCAAACACCAAAGTTTGAGGCATTTCAGAGGAGATTAGATTTAAGATAATCCTATTACATAAGGAAGCTTCCGAAAATACATTTCAAAGATACTACATCTTCACTGAGATATCCTTGGTTTATTTTACTTCAGTCACGGACACTTATGGGCATGGATTACAGTAAGGCAAGTAAGCAATGAGACACTCTGTGTTACTGCGATTTTATTACGGGAAGGGTGTTCTTTCTCCTGTCCCTGTGATAAAATCACTGTAACACACGGCCTTAAGTGGCTTATTGCTTTTATAAAACGGTGGCCTACATGTAATATGATAAAATGCACTGTTTTTCAGAAAATAATTTGTTATTATTAATAACCGACATAAACAAGTATTCCGCCATAGACTATGGTATCGTTGCCAAGCAACCATGAACCACTGAATGAGGAGAATGTTCGGTCACACATTGCTACATATTGCAGTCATTTCATGAATTTTTGAAACTTTTTGTCGTATAACAATGAACATATGATAATACAGCACTGTTTCATGCAAAAACTTTCTATTTATAAGTACTTTTTGGTCACCAAATTACATCCCCGAGTTGTATTTACCGCCAATCCAGCGGCGCCCTCTTCTGACACTGGGGCTGAATCTGAAACAGCTCCCTGCTCCCTACATAGTGAACTACGCAGGAATTTAAATACTGGATTCTGCAGCCCAACAGTGAATAATACAGCTAAGAAATAATCATTTGGGATTCAGACACATCCACACTCAGTAAATGGTGCACTATTTGGCTGTAGAGGCTAGAATTTCTAAACTTTCATAGCTAGCACACTATTTAGGGAGTACAGAGCCGTTTGGAACTTTTCTTACAAATGAACAGGCGCAAAATTGTAATTAACATATAACCAGCTCAATAAAAACCTCTGTTTTGCTCACATCCTTTCTGTCCAATGCTATTTTCTTCATAACTGTTTCTGGTGGCAGAATGTGCATAGTTGTACTTCTTAATGTCAAATGTTTGAATGTTCATCACAAAATAGTGTCTTGTTTTCTTTATACTTAGACTTAAGTTGACTTGTTTTGTTGAAATGACGACTCATTTTTGGTGGTAGTATCAAATTTAAGACAAGCTTTTCATAGATCCTAAATGGGTGCTTCTATTACTGTAGTTCTCGTCCTAGTATTTTATGTGGCAACACTTTATTTTGATGGTGTACTGTAGATGCTTTGTACATGCTGAGTCTGTCTTTAATTCAACTAAATATCTAATAAATGCAACTGAATTTGAAGTTGAGTGTGAAGGGATACCATTAAATATAACCCTATTTCTAGGTAGCTTAGATATGATCCTAATAATCATCTAATAATCAACCACGTATCACCAGAAAGCTTATTAATAATGTATCTATAGATCATCTATTTGGGATCATCAAAATAAAGTGTGATCTTTTGTGCTTTGTGAAGGAAACTCTTATAAATGCATATGCAATAAAGGCAAAAGTACAACATAGCAGTGATGTTAGTACAGTTGGTTAAAAGAGTTTTAATCGAAAATCAGGAATGTTCTACATAGATCTTGGAAGTAAGTAGTTTTGGAAAATTGCTTCAGATATAGAAATGCAAAAAATGTGGAGCAATTCTTGTCAACTGTCAGAGAAAAGGTGCTGATCAATCTGGGGTTAATTATTATCATTTACATTCTCATCAATGCATTTACATGGTCAAGGCAGACCTGATCCCGGATCAGTAGTCTTGCATGCAATATATTGCTGTTGTCGGAACAAAACCTTGTATCTCCAAAATGGTAACTTTACAGGAGATAGAAAAAACACACTTTTCTTTTAATGTAAGTCAATGGAACCAGACTTTTTTCCAAGTCATTTTGGGTCGTTTCTTTTGGTCCATTCATCATAAAATTTACACACAATGTAAAGGGCAACAAGCATTTTCAAATTATGTCAAAAACTGAAAAATGACAAAAATGGACATACAAGGTTTTCTTCCGACAGCAGCGATATGCTCGTTAAGCCTGTATAATCTGATTTAAAATGTTAAATATGTATACATTTTTAATTAAAAATAAAAATTTTGATCCCGAGCGGCTCAACCGTCTAAGCGTTGGCCCTATCATCAGGAGATCGCGAGTTCGATCCCTGGTGATGCTACAGCCGTCCATGGCTGGGTGTCCAAGAGAGCACAATTGGCCTTGCTCTCTGGGTAGGATGGCCCCCACCTCTCCCCCCATCAAGCACGATACTAGTCAGCGCAGGTGTCTGTTAGCTGACATAGCAGATCTGGTGGTTGGCGCTTTCCTCCGAGCGCGTTCAGCTGTCCAATGACATTGCGTCAGCGGCAGTTCAACAAAAGAGGGGGTGCGCTTTAAAGGTCTCGGGGGAAGCCTGTGCTAGTCTTCACCCTCCTGGTGCTGGTGGTATCGTGTGACTGGGGGAGTCCTGACTAGTGGGTGGAATTGGAGAAGACTAAATTGCAAAGAACATATTAATTTATTTTTTTTCCCAACTTTCCCACTAGTTACATCTTAGTCATGGGTAGGTGAAGAATAGCATGTTTCCTCTGAGAAATGTGAAGCACCATTGCATCTTCTCGAACTGCACTGGAATGGCGAACATTACTGAAACGTTAAACGTGAAACATTACTACAGCTCAACACGCTTGGAGGAGAACACTAAGAGCTGGTTCTGTTATGAGTGATGGAGGGAGAGAGAGGGCAATCCTGTCCACCCAGAGAGAGAGAGTGAGGACAATTATGCTCCTTTGGACTCCCAGCTGGCATCACCAGCGATCGAGCTCACAATATCCCAAAAATTTAAAATAAAAGCAAATGAATTGTCAAGATGAGATAGGACCTTTATTGAGAAGTCAGCAGGACTAAGTAAGAGCAGCAGGCCATTACGCCAGCCAGGAACTGTTATATTTTGCATCGTAACTTTTTTCTCAGTATCAGATAAAATCCATTACCAGTGCAGGCTTATAAACAACAGCTCACATTTTATGTCTATGATGTTTAAAATATTTGCCAGTCAAATAACCCAATAGATTCTAGGCTATTAAACACTATCAACTAATAATAAAAGCCCTCTGCTCTCAAGATAAGGATTAGGCTGAGACAGTGCCTGTTGTAAAAATATCATGTGGAGCGCTGGGCAAAAGCATCCTGACCTTTGCCCTCATTAGACAGCTGTGGTCTCACCTCGTCTCCCTGGCCGACGTCCTGCACAGCCCGCACCTCCGCTAACGTCCCTCTGTATGTGACTATGGCATTTGGACAACAGCTATGATTCATCAGAGCAACACTGAGAGACAGAGAGAGAGAGAGAGAGAAATGAGAGAGAAAATAGAAAGAGAAAGACAGAGACAATGAGAGACAGAGACAGATAGAGAGAGACAGACAGAGACAGATTAGAAGAGAGAAAGAAAGAAAGAAAGAAAGAAAGAAAGAAAGAAAGAAAGAAAGAAAGAGAAAGAAAGAAAGAAAGAAATACAGAGAGAAAGAGAGAGAAAGATAGAAAGAAATGAAAATATCAGAGTAAGAAAGAAAGAAATACAGAGAGAAAGAGAGAGAGAGATAGAGAGTGAAAGAAAGAAAGATTAGTGAACTGGGAAACAGGACAGATTAAAGCGCTCTGGTCAACAGCATCGATTAACTGACAAAATGTGCATCTGTCTGTGTCTGTATGTCTCCTTACTCTGGAAACACTGCTGAGCCCAAGTGTGACAGTTCCTCATCCTCCACTGTGAAGCCATTACAGTTCACCTGTGAGAGAGAGCGAGAGAGAGAGAGAGAGAGAGAGAGAGAGAGAGAGAGTGTGTGTGACTGCAGGACCACTGTTTTTTTTTGTGGAAAGCACAGGACAGGACAGAGAAGGACAGGAAAGGACAGGAGAGGACAGGACAGAACAGGACACAACAGAACAGGACAGAAATAGTACCTAAAGACTAAAATACAGGAATATATATATATATATATATATATATATATATATATATATATATATACATATACATATATATATATATATATATATATATTCCTGTATTTTAGTCTTTAGGTACTATTTCACTTCAGATTTCAGAATTTAACAGTTGAAATGAAGAAAAGTAACACTTTTTAAAGAAAACTCAAACATCTACCACCCTGCAGAGTGTAGCCCCAATCCTAATCTAGAACATCTGATGCAGTTATTGAAGATCTTCCAGGCATCTGAATATTACAGCCAGGTGTGTTGGATCTGAACTCTCCAGGTTGGTAGATCTCCAGGACCAAGACTGGGATTTTTCAGGCTGGAGATTCTAGCATTTAGTGCTTCAGTAGACACGGTGTTCTACCGTGCTAAGTGCACTTTTATAAAAAACAAATGAGTACATATATAATAAATGGACTTTCAGGCCTAGAGGAACTATATGATTCAAATACATGTTTGTCTCCTCATGAGCATTGAACTGCAGGTCACTGTTCTGTTTTTATGGGATGCAGTACAATCATTTTGACATTCAGGAGGAGATGAGGGACAGGGTGGACCCTACAGAGTGAGAGCGAGGAGGGAGACAGTTATGAAAGCTCATATTGCGGGTTTAGTTTTCCTGGACTGCAGCTCTGTCTCTTTCAACAGTTTCTTATCCTGATCCACATGCAACCATCCTTCACCAGCATGTCAAAGACATCACCACCACTCTGTTATAGGAAAGAGAAACTGATAGACTTTTTGTATTGGTTAGAATGGAGCTAATTTCAACAATCCATGTTATGCTTACTTAAAATGACACTGTGGTAAAATTTACACATTTTTTTTTCATAAAAACATTTTACATATACACCAATTGGCCACTTCATTAAATAAACCTCTTTGTTTCTACTCTTATTGTCCCTTTGATCCTCTCTATTTACCATATAGGAGCACATTGTAGTGCTACAATTACAGACTTCAGTCCATCTGTTTCTCTGTATACTTTGTTCACCCTGTTCTTCAGTGGTCAGGACCCCCACAGGACCACCACAGAGCAGGTACTATTTGGGTGGCGGATCATTCTCAGCCCTGCAGTAACACTGACATGGTGGTGGTGTGTCAGTGTGTGTTGCGCTGGTCTGAGTGGATCAGACACAGCAGTGCTGCTGGAGTTTTTAAACACCTCAGTGTCACTGCTGGACTGAGAATAGTCCACCAACCAAAAATATCCAGCCAACAGCGTCCTGTGGGCAGCATCCTGTGTCCACTGATGAAGGACAAGAGGATGACCAACACAAACTGTGCAGCAACAGATGAAAAAACCTTCAGCAGCACTGCTGTGTCTGATCCACTCGTACCAGCACAACCTATAGTAACACACCACCACATCAGTGTTACTGCAGCGCTGAGAATGATCCACCACCCAAATAGTACCTGCTCTGTGATTGGTCCATGGGGGTCCTGACCACTGAAGAAAAGGGTAAAAGGGGGCTAACAAAGTATGCAGAGAAACAGATGGACCACAGTCTGTAACTGTAGAACTACAAGATGCACCTATATAGTAAGTGGAGCTGATAAAATGGACAATGAGTGTAGAAACAAGGAGGTGGTCATAATGTTTTATATATATATATATATATATATATATATATATAAATATATATATATATATATAAATATATATATATATATGTGTTGGGATGGAGATTTTAGCTGGACCGGAAAAAGGGAGGCAACTGACCCCGATGCTAAGAGCAAAGAATTACACAAGAAGTCACATAAATTCCGATCTGGATGTTCTCATTCAGTCTGCATGGCCATGAGACAGATAATATCCAGTTTATGACTTTGTGCAAAAGTGGCTGACCTTTGAGATTTTAAATCTGATCAGATTTGCATGTCCACACAGCTCGTGGTACATTAAGGCACAAAATCAAAGTAGTATTCATAAAAATAACAACTTCAGATTTTCCATTTTAAACAACCAGTAGTAGATCAACTTGTAGCTAATGTTAAGGGAACAACTTGAGAGAGAATATTGAAGTAAGTGTGGAAATAAAGTTAAGCAGTTAAAGTAGAGCTTATTTTTTTAGTTATTTATTTGTTTTTAAGCAGCTCACTTTAACTTTCCTGGGGTTCCTATGCGAAAACTTGACATAAGGCATTTTATGCACCAGACACCACTGATATGTTTACAACTGTGAGATTTAGAACATTCTGTTCCATTCAGGAATCTAGTTCAGTTGGCATGGCAGCGGAGCGATCCGAAGCTTCAGCCAGGATTAGAGCACCAGTGATAAATGAGGAATGTTGGACTGGGAGAAGAGAGATGAAGAAGAAGGGGAGAAAGAGAACAAGAGAGATAATACTCCATTAAAGGCTACTAAAGGCTGTGCTGACCACACTAAAAAAGACTGTCCAGCCTGTTTTTTCACATTATAATTATTGGGCCACCATGGAGTGTTCGGACGGGTTCTAATAAACTCATGAATTTCCCTGTTGATTTGATTGGCCAACTGGATTGGTATTGAGTGTCTGTATAATTTCCCCAGTTTGTCATTGATGACACAGGTTGAAAAGTCATAGCCTGGATGTTCACATCAGCATTACACCATTGAGCATACACTAAATAATAATAACAACACACAGGACCACTGTTGCTGAGGGAAATCAGTGTTGGGCCAATTGCAGAAGACCATTCGCTCCACAATTATTACTGTCAGACTGTAAAATCTACACACACTGCAGATTCATACTGGATTAAAATCACTCCACAATTATTACTGTCAGACTGTAAAACTACACACACTGCAGATTCATACTGGATTAAAATCACTCCACAATTATTACCGTCAGACTGTAAAACTACACACACTGCAGATTCATACTGGATTAAAATCACTCCACAATTATTACCGTCAGACTGTAAAATCTACACACACTGCAGATTCATACTGGATTAAAATCACTCCACAATTATTACCGTCAGACTGTAAAACTACACACACTGCAGATTCATACTGGATTAAAATCACTCCACAATTATTACCGTCAGACTGTAAAACTACACACACTGCAGATTCATACTAGATTAAAATCAATCCACTCCATAGAACCAGTCAAATTTCAGCCCAGTGCAGGTAGTTACATTTAAAGGGTTCCTATTGAAACGTCAAAGGAACTCTCACTCCTAGTTGTTCTGAAAGATCTGAACAGGTGATGACAAAAACGCAGAGGGCCTTTCCGCTACTGCCCTCACTCTGAGAGGTCTCTGACCCATGACCTCAAGGTGACTGACACAGTCAAATGCCTGTCATTAACTGTCTGACACAGTTGTTAAGTCAGCAGAAACAGTGTTGTGATACAATGTCTTTCTTTGCCACTTTATAGTTCACACTGGTAACCTGAACAGCTAAACACCAGCCTTTTAGACTTTCAGAGACGGCCTAATGATTTCTAGGAACTAAAAAAATTATAGTTCATTATTCTTTATAGAATTATCATCCTTGCTGTAATACTCTTATTTCATTGTGCAATTTTTACGAGAAACAAAAGGGTCCAAATCTAATCTTGTCAAATCAGAATTTTTCACAGTGGTATCTGGGTAGATAGAGCTAAGCAAGTTCTTCCGTTGGCTAGGCCTTCAGGAGCTGGTGGATGAATTACGAATGTAAATAACTACAAGTTGCCAATTTTGTGTAAAAAAAACTTCACTCTAGACCTTCTGGAAGTTACAGATACTGTGACTACGAGTTGTCTAACTAGGTTTTAGTCAGTTGATGAAAACAGAAATGGCTCTATGCCAGAACCCTTTACTGAGTCACTGCAAACCTGCTACATACGACAACATATTGTAATGTCTGTTACAAGCTTCAAATGTCTGTTCTTAATCTACAATGGCAATAAATATTCACTGATATACTACTATAAATCCCACAGGAGTGCTACCAGAAATGAGCATAGCTTTTTGGAGTTTTTATTCATTTGGTAACAAGTAATAAATAAATAAATACTTCGAATGAACAATTCTTTCAATTTTTGGCGTTGAATCACACAAGTTATTTTACTTTTTCCTACATGAAATATTTTTTTAGGTTGATCTGATGAGCCACTTTTACAGTGTATAATGATAAATAATAGAGAAAACTGACCATATTTAACATGCCTTCTGTTGCCAATATACTATACCATTTTTTTTGCATGGTTGTGTGTTTACCTGAGCAAAAAGAGTAAGCAGGGCTTGGTGGTCAGGGAAATCCAGGTGTTTAGAGTAGAAGTGATGCAGACCAGCAATATCTGCTTCATTCATTTCCCTCTTCTCATTATCCAACTTATCCAGGTCTAAGCAAGAGAGAGAGAGAGAGAGAGAGAGAGAGAGAGAGAGAGAGAGAGAGAGAGAGCAGGCAAGTTGTGTAAGCTCTGTGTAGTCATGATTACAGTATGAAGTACTTCCCTGCTGTTGGTAAAGTGCACTACAGAGCCCAGAAGCTAGTCAATGGCTTATTTGACTTCATTCAGAGCAGCAATGCCCAGACAAGTACACGTGACAAGCACATACACAGCTTCACTGATCAAGAGTGCTTCATACATTTCAATGTTTGCTCATCACACTGCTCACTTAGCAGAATGTACAGAAAAGACAACAGTAAAACAAACTGAGCCTTGTTGGAAAAAATGGAAAAAATGACAAAAGGCATATGAAATTAAACTGAGCCGTGGGATGAAATTGAACAGGGTAGAATACGATGGATGTAACTGAATAGTGTGTCAAAGAGAAGGGAATAGAACCGAATACCGTATTATAGAATGGAATGGAGTGCTGAAGGGTGTTAAACGAATGGAATTTTAATAGAATGAGTTACTGAATGGAATGGGATACAATTGAAAAGGCTAGTTTATGGAACTGAATGGAAAATGCTGTTGAATGGAAAGGAATAGGGTGTTGAATGGAATATAATGCAGAAGAAAACAGTGAGGCAAATAAAACTGAATAGAACTGAATGTGGTATAACAGAATGGAATGAGATGGGGTGCTGAAAGGGGCTAAATGAAATGGGATTTTAATAGAATGAGTTGTTGAATGAAATGAAATGCAACAAAATAGGCTGCAGTGTTGTAACGTTAGTCCAACTGACCAGATGCTTGCGAATGTAAAAGTTCAAAGAGTATTTATTAACAAAGCGTGACTTAACAAAGGGAGTGTCAAAGCCAAACCAGGTCAGAACAGCGAAGACCAGAAATACAAACGTGGGTGGTGAGAGGAAGTCCTTTCACATGTGCTTCCTACTATGCTCTAACATATGTTGGCCCTATTGTCGTGTCAGCTGTATTGTCTTACAGTTGGGTGTCTTTTGGTGTTTTATCTGTATTGTTCCTCCTGAGGTGAGAACAACTTCACTCCCTGGGGTCCCCAAACCCCCTTCCCCATCTTTCCCAACCTGTTTGATCGTCACCTACCTCCCCTCCCTCTTTGCTACTTCCCTTGATCCTTAGTATCTCTACTACCATGTATTCTTTAGACTGGTGACAGACTGGTGACCAAGCAGTGCCCGTGCATGATTCTCTGCATGTACACGAAAAAAACTCGGACTCTGAAGCTCCAGTTTCCTGACTCTTCCTGCTGAATTTCTAGAGTGGTAACCGAAAAGAGAAGGTCAAAAACATGTGTGGGTCAAAGCCAAATCAGCAACAATATACACCGATCAGGCATAAAATTATGACCATCTCCTTAGTTCTACACTCATTGTCCATTTTATCAGCTCCACTTACTATATATTAAACAGCTCAGTGTCACTGCTGGACTGAGAATAGTCCACCAACCAAAAATATCCAGCCAACAGCGTCCTGCGGGCAGCGTCCTGTGACCACTGATGAAGGACTAGAGGATGACCAACACAAACTGTACAGCAGCAGATGAGCTATCATCTCTACATGGTGGACTGACAAGGAAGGAGTGTCTAATAGAGTGGACAGTGAGTGGACACAGTGTTTAAAAACTCCAGCAGCACTGCTGTGTCTGATCCACTCGTACTAGCACAACCTATAGTAACACACCACCACCAGTGTTACTGCAGTGCTGAGAATGATCCACCACCCAAATAGTACCTACTCTCTGAGGCTCCATGGGGGTCCTGACCACTAAAGAACAGGGTAAAAGGGGGCTAACAAAGTATGCAGAGAAACAGATGGACTACAGTCTGTAACTGTAGAACTACAAAGTGCACCTATATAGTAAGTGGAGCTGATAAAATGGACAATGAGCGCAGAAACAAGGAGGTGGTCATAATGTTATGCCTGATCAGTGTATATACATGGTAAGGTAACAGGGCACAGGTGACAACAGTTCAATAATCAGGTGACGTGGATCTAGGAAGCTGTCCGTGATTGGTCAAGTCCATGGTGGAAGAGTACGGACATTAATGCTATTGAATGCAAAATGCTATTGAATGAAATGGAACTAAGTGGAATAGATTGTTGAATGGAATAGAACGCAGTAAAATGGAATTGAATGGAATTTGAGTATAATGAACTACTGAATGGAATAACATAGAATGGAACAGAATAGGATGTTGAATGGGATGGAATGCAGTAGAATAATATGGCATGTAATGAGATGAAACAGTATAGGGTGTTGTAGAATGATGTGTTTTAAATGTAAACATTGCGTTTTGGTGACTACTGTACCGTTTTCTCTCATAATGAACACACACAGAGGTGCGTGATCTCTTCTGATGAGGATCTGCTCAGGACAGCACATCTGAGCAACACACACAAAAACACACACATGCATACGCACAAACACATATACAGTACACACGCTGAAAAAACTGTGTTTTTTACATAATTAAAATGTATGAAAAGATGACAGGCGAATAAAATTTTAATAAAATACATCAAATCCTTGTCAAAAGAAGCAAACTTGTGTTTACATAGTATATTTTCTTTATGTGAAACCACTTGGCTCTGTTTTGTTTAGCTGCTTGCAGGCCTTACACTTGAGCAGGTTTAGTGGAAGGTCTGTATCCTATTGTTGTCTTATATTTTAGCATCTGATAGAAATCAGTAACCATTTTTTCCCACTATGAGCCTTAATCTGAGGACTATTAAGAGTAAATAATAATGGCTGTTGAACCACGAGAGAGGAAACATGAACGGTAACACTTTCTATGAATGTCACCTTTGTAAGCATCTAAAAATACATTTATAACATGTTATAACGCCTTCATACGGCATTATAAACATGATTATAAACATTTATAAAAATAAATTACACTGGACTACACTTTATAGCCATGTTTATTATACATTATGAATTGTTAATACAATGCATTATAAGTAGTGTTGATAACATGTTATAATGTCAGTGCCAAAGAAGTCAGTCCCAGCTTGGAGAGCGTAAAGACAAATGCCAAGCTAACAGTGGTGTACATTACCTTTCCCACATTGGGTAAAAAACTGATGGCAGCACTAGTGTAAACTGTGACATTTGAAGCCTGTAATGTGCTTTACTTTGTATGTTGAAGTGTTTCAGTAAATCCTTCAGTAAATACTTCAACTTGAAGCCTCACTCTTAACACTGGAGGAGGCTTTAGTACAGTACGCTTCACTTTACTTAGAGCGACTTATGAGCTCTTATAATTTGTTATGATCAGTACTTATAATGTATTATATTAACAATTCATAATGCATAATAAACATGGCTATAATGTGGAATGCGTTTTTATAAATATTTATAGCCATGTTTATAATGCCTTATGAATGCATTATAACATGTTATGAATGTGTTTATAGATGCTTACAAAGGTGACATTCATAGAAAGTGTTACCACATGAACATATCAAGAGTTTCATTCTGAAAAATATGTTTGTAGCAATTTTGGGTATAAGGTTTTGAAAAGAATAACAGCTGACTTATAACGCAAAACACATTTTCATTTCTCTAATAAAGTTCATATTAATCATAATATAGCATTGTTATTTCTTGTATGTGTGTCTTTATTTACATTGTGTGTTTTTTTACAAAATTTAGGTTGGTTTTAATTAAGTTTGATCACTTTATTCCAGAGAATATTGACCTGTGACTTTGACCTGTACATAAAATTAATTATTAATATGTTATTATTGAATATTAGGCAATAAGTAAGTGTGTGTGGGGGGGGTATATAATGTTAATTATTATAAATAGTCTCATAAACATAAATACATAGTGTTATACCGTTTGTGTGGGTTTATGTACCAAACTCTGTCAAGTCTATTTTCCAACCTCAGTTTATCTCTTAAAATTGTATAGGCTGCTCTTCTTAATGTGCCTTTGTAACTGATGTATGTAAATGACCTCAATCCTGACTGGCCAGCCTGAAGAGAGACAGGAGCAGAGGCAGACAAACAGAAGGACAGACACAAGTACAGACAGAGATGGCAGACAAAATGACGGAGGTGTTTATTGCTACTTACTGGCCTCCATGTCCTTCAGCAGCAGCAGCTTCTCTGATGCACTCCTGTCTTTCTGAACTTTCTGCATATCAGAGATAAAGAACGAGAACCGTTATTCAGATTTCACTGCAGTATCAAGCTATACGAAAGCAAACAGTCAACCCCCTAACCCCCACCCTTATCACTCAGCTTTAAACTTAGAAAAAACTGAAAGGGTTTAATTTACTGTGTAAACATTGGTAAGGTTTCAAACAGCACCATGTACTGTACCCTGCAAAAGCAGCCTATGGTGAATTCATCATGATTGCCTATGAAATGCTTTTATCTATGAGTGCTTATGTGAAAGAAATGTAGGAAAACTAATACACGTTGTGCTATTCCTGGCTGTTGGGAAGCAAAAGGGTCATTTCGGCCCACCAAAGGATCCACAGATCCAAAAGAGGAAGCAGATTTTTCTTACGTTGTTGAGGATTTTGGTCTGAACTGAACAATAAAAGCCTTTAATTCTTGGATATAAAAAGAGGTTAAAACAAAGTTCAGTCAGTTACATAAAATAAATGTTTTTAGTATGAAAAAAATCTTCAGAAAAAGTGCAATTAAAATGTGGAATATGGGCCCACTCATTCAAAAACTACTATTACAAATTATTCATTAAACACTATAAACTATTTAGTAGCTACAATAAATTGTTCAATAACTACTATAAATTATTTGGTAATTCCTACAAATAATTCAGTGTCAACTGTAAAGTATTCAAAAAGTACCTTAAACTATTCAATAACAACTAAAATTATTCAGTGACACTCTTAAAAAAGATGGTTCTTCGAGGGTTCTTTAGTAAAGAAAATGGTGCCATGAACCATGAACACTCACAAAACCTTTTGCATGATTAGCTGGTTCTTTGCATCATAAACTGGTTCTCCAGATTGATGGAAAAAGTGCCCTAGATGGTTTTGAAAAGTGCTCTATATAACACCAAAAAGGTTCTTCTATAAGCTTTTATCATAAAAGTAGTAGAACTCTTTTTGGTGCTATATGGAACCCTTTTGAAAAAGAACCATTTCACCATGCAAAGAACCATTTAATCATGCAAAGGATTCGTGGATTGTTCACGGTTCTATATAGAACCATTTTCTTTAATAAAGAACTCTTGAAGAACCATTGTTTTTAAGAGTGTACTTGATATTTTTCAGTAATGACTTTAAATTATTTATTAACTACTATAAGTGAATCAGTAACTACAATGAATGCTTCAATAATTAAATTATTCAGTATCTACTATTAAACAATAGTGTAAGTTCTGTAAGTTCTAGCTATGAGGGCGAGGAAAAGACATGTGGTCCCACATACAGACCCTCAGAGTTTAAGGTTTTACATTTTTAAAAAACCATTGTGCTCAACTGAATCATTTATAAACTGCTCATTAGTGGTGGCTGTATCGCTGAAAGAAGGATCTTCTTTCTCTCTGTTCATCTCTCAGTGACAGTCTGAACCACCCGCCGTGCATTCCTCATCTTCTAGCTTACATAGTGTCCGTTAACTCTAGGTTTGGATCTCAGCCCGCTGGACAGATAGAGGCCGGAATAACTCACACACTGCAGATACCTGCTGTACACGCAAGCCTTCCGGCCACAGGGCGTCCTTAACACGGCTGTCCAACATTCTGTCCTTGCTGCAGCGAGACTGTCCTTTTGGAAGCTGCTCAAAGCTTTTTAACTCTTAAAAGTCCCAGTTACAGCCCGTGATAATGAAAGCATGCTGTCATTTTATATGACCTGCTTCTCACTCATAGCTCATTGGAACAAGTGGAGATTGTGTGGAAAGTACAGATTGTAAAACGTTCAATCCACATTTGTGTTTGTAAGTAAAAGAGATGTTTTATCATTATTGAATGAAAACCATCCTGTACATTTTTACATGTTTTTTGTCTCGTTTAAATATTGGAAGAAGTGGAAAATCAAGTCAGAAATGTTGATGAGGAAATAATTAATAATTGCAGTTAATGTAGCTATTTATGTAATTATGCAATATGTTCTATTACAAAATGACTCTTATTGCAGTGATGGTACTGACCAGTGTGGCAATGATCCGGGCCACCAGTCGGACCGTCTCTGATGGACACCAGTTCTCCCCAAATGCACACATTGCTGAGCATTCCAGCTTGTGCATGGCCCAGTCTCCTCTCTGCGAAACACAAACACATTAATACATGCAGAACAGCACAATTCAATTAGCATATTAGCATTAGAAAAAAAATTGTTAGTTGAGGCAATGGGCCAAGAACATCAGACTGACTTAGCTGGTGATAATTTGTAGGAAACATTGTTGTGTGTTGTTCTCCTAAGATTTTACAGTCAGCTCACTAATAGCGGGAGCATAGCTATGTGGGTGGGGGGTGGTGGTGGCAAGTAGCAGGCACAGGGTGGGCACTTCCCATTCAGTTGGAGAAAAGAACTATTGGCCTTTCTAATACTCAGTCTGGAGCACCAGCATTTGAGCAGCATAACAGCTGTCACCTATTCTCTGTTTGCAATCAGCCAGTCATCACCACTTACCAGTCATTTTTCCAGGTTGATAGCGAATATTTATAACTGGAACATGGCTCTTTTAGTTCCTTTTTCAGCTCTCTGTAGCAGCAGCTACGTAACCTGATCCACGCTTCCCCTCTGTAACTAAAACAACCACCATGTGCTGACAGCATGTGCTCTATACATGCTTCATGGTCCATTTTGAATGAATTCATCATTCGAAATTTCACCTCCATCTTTTTTTTGTTTTTTTTTCTTTTTGTACTACACTGCACTTTACAGTGATTTTACACTGTAGGGGGGGGTGCTGCTGACAAAAAATCTGCGCTAATTCTGATTGATTCATGGAATCATATGACATCACTGTCATCCAATATAGTCCCACCCAACTCAAATCCAGCACAGGGAACACACAAGTAGAAGCATCTCACTATTGAAATTATATTATTCTTCATTTGGCAGCCAGTGGTACTTTTATGCAAAAGTCTAGATAAAAGGGTAAACAGATTAAGAACTGCCGCCTTAATAAACTCAAGCTCTAACTAAAATACATACGTCTTACCTGACATTCCACATTGCAGTAGAATGCTTTCTTGCATTTTCCGCATTTAGCAAGTCCCTCTTTCCTACAGAAAAGCAGAGACAGTTATTTTTATAAACACACACACACATAAAATGACAACAACAACCCAATGATTATCCCGCCAAGAGCATATGGCCTACACACACACAATTCACCATGGCTGCCAATAAACACACACACATACACACTGGTGCCTTATTACAGCACATGGTATTGTGTGTCCTCATGGAAGCCAGAAACACACACTGTGTTGCGCAGAAGGATGAAAATACCCACTGACACACTTAGAGAGCTTATACAAACCTCATATAACATGAACCATTAGACACAGTTGAAACCTCATCAGCCGTAAAGCAGAGTAGTAATCTTCCTATACAAGATCGCAGCACTGAGATATAAATATCAAGCTTAGTGTAAATCTCACTGTATTGAGACACATTCTAGCTTTAAAAGAGATGCACTGGAGACATCTCACAGTGGTGTCCTAGGATCAGCTCTCCAAACCATTTTACCATGTTTATTATGGTAAAACGACTTGAGGAGCTAATGGAAAAACTATTTAGGTTACATTGATTGGAATAAACTTGCCCACAGTCAGTCCATACAAATGTATTCTATCATCAGATGCTTGATTTTATTGCCTTACTTGATTACAACAAGCAAAACAGCCGTTGCTAAAGAATTAGTTTCATCACCACAAATGGGCCAAGACTTGCAGACATTCAGCCATATTTATAGACATGACCTTTGGGGGACAACCTGTTCGTGCTTTGGTCTGCTCTTTAAATGTGAGGAACCAGTCTTGCTGGTGGTTGTTTATCACCCACCCAAATACACACCCTCCTTCTCACCACAATTGTCTGAACTATGTCCATCTGTGTAACTAATAATGATAGAACTCTTCTGACTGGTGATTTCAATTTCCATACTGATGAAGCCTCAGACAAAAAGGCTACTGAATTCATGCAACTTAAAAATTGTATCAATATGTATCACAATGCAGTACAAACAAAGAGACAGAAATACTACTGAAAAAGTATTAACGACAACAGAAACAACCCAAGAGTTTTTCTGTTCTCTCACATCTTAAAGATTTCTTAAATTAACACAAGATCCATGAAAAATTCCAGTTTGGCTGGAGTGAATGTAGTGAATGATCTGAGAATAACTGCTGATGCTGGTGATCTTTTGTTAGTTATGCTTCTGGATTTAACTGCTGCATTTCATACTATAGACCACAGAACACTTCTAAATTGGCTTGAGAACTTGGTTGATCTTTCTGGAACAGTGTTATACTGATTCTCTACACATTCAACTTGAAGACATATCTCAGATAAGCATGATATTCTCTGTGGTGTACCACAAGGCTCTGTTTTCTTTGTATATGCTTCCACTTGGTCAGATTATTAAGAAGCATGGCATCAATTTTCATAGTCATGCTACACAGATGATACACAACTTTGTCTGTAGCTCCAGATGATTTCACTTCAGTATACAAGCTGGTAATATGTCTGTCCAGCATTGTTAGCTGGATGAATACAAGAGAAATAATTGTAATTGGTAGTGAAGCAAAGAGGAAAAAGGTGATTGAAAGACTTAGAAATCTGGCTCTACAAATAAAAACTAAAGCTAGAAATCTTGGTGTAACTCTAGACTCTGAATTAACTTTTGGAAGAATCAGTATCCACATCCAAGGGCAACATTCCTTAACAAACACCAAGAACCCCATTAGCTTCATTTCCATTTCACTGACTGCAAGTAATAAAGTGAAAATGCATAAAAACAAATACTTGCTGCCTACTATTTTGTTAATCAAACAAACTTTTGATAGTTTTTTGATAGAAACTAAACCTCACCTAATGACATAACACAAAACTGTTGCACAATTTTTAGTTAATCAAATAAAAAAATGTGTTTGACATGTTTTAAACTCTAATTTCATGCATGTCACAACTTGTGTACATTTGGCTTTCCTGACATCCCCATAATCTACTAATAAGGAGGTATTTTATTTTCCTAAATGGAGCACTTTCCATTTAGTAAGCCTGGAGCCTTTTCTGAACATCTTTTTAAATCATATTTATACAGTCGATCTGGATTTGTTTATCGTTACTTCTTCTAGAGACCCCCATATGGTCTACATTTTGGCTCCAACTAACATGGAACACATAGGGATAAAGCAAAAGTGTGGACTGTCTGGTGATCCCTGAGGTCCAGTTTGAGATCCAGATTTCAATTCACTCCAGGTCCAGCAATTGTATGTCCAATGTCATTGTGTTCACTGGGGAGACCCTACTCTCCTTGCAGCCACTCGGTAAACCCTTTTTACAGTCACTCCTGTTTCTGTGCCCATGGTGGCTTAAGTACCGGCTCTCTAGACAGCTCCAGTTTTAGCTTCTCAGAAGGTGCCTGTGCCGTCCCCAAGGATTGCCCCACAGCCTGCCACCTAGTGTTGTACAGTCTTGTGCTCAGCTGCTTTGCTCTAGGCCCTGGTCTGGATCTAGCTCCGGTACTGTCCCTCTTCCTACTGTCCCTGTTGCTGATCCAGCCCCTGTCTATGCTATGGAGCCCTGTGCCAAGCTGCCAGACTCGTTACATACTAAGGCTGTTTATTCAGTAACTACAGGGACTTCAATGCAAACTGATTGAGCTATTCTAAGGTTATAGCAATGTATAATAAACCTGCCAGCAGGCCCTAGTCATTTAGGGAGCCAACTCTGGTTCCTCATGGTCCAGGTCCCCTAGCTTTTTTTGTGCTGAGAGCTGCAGGGGGCCTCTGTTCACCAACCTTCTTCCTGGAGATTTACTTACCTGCATCTAGCACTCCTCCTTCCCTTACCTAACACTACTGCCTCTCATCCAGCCTATCAGGAACTTCTGAAGAAGCTGATTAGCCAGAGCAGGTGTGGCAGATTGTTGCTGGAACTAGACTCTGTAGGAAGGCCATCCATGTTCCGACTGCTTTTTTGATCAAAAATCAATCTGGATGCAACCTGGATTTGCCAAAAAAATAGATTTGTGTAAGTCTGAACATAGCCAAAGATCTCCAGGACCAGGTTTGGTAACTACTGCAATATTGCAGTTTGCTCACACCACCTCCAGTGCCACCCTGGCTCCACCCACTTATAATTGCAGACACCTGCAGCTAGCTTCAGGGCTTATTCACTCAAGTATATATTGTTTACCTGCCTGCTTGTGTGGTAATCTCTTTGTGTTATGACTCTGCATATTGGAAACCCCATTAATAAAGCTACTCTATACTACACCCCTCTCATTACAGCTCTTCAACAAACTCAGCAATTAGTCTGAATTGGCCAAGAAACATCAAACATGCTGAAAACTTTTCAAAATGAAAGACAAAATGTCTTAACTGGATGGAAATGAGTGCTGCCTATAACCCAGTTCTGCTTGGTTTGAACCAGTGGTGGACAGTAACAAAGTGAATGTACTTAAGTAGTTTTTTCGTGTATCTGTACTTCACTGAAGTATTTCCATTTTGGGCGACTTTTTACTTTCACTCCACTACATTTCAAAGTCAAATATCTTACTTTTTACTCCACTACATTGTGTGAAATCTGTCGTTCCTTTTGGCTTATGTGTGCATAAAAACGTAAGAGGTCAAAACAAAACAAGCGTGAAGGAAGCACACCAATCAGGGCACAGTGCGCACTTTGTTTTGGGCATGTTTTGACCTGTTGGTCATACCGACCCAGTGCAAGCAAACGGTTCAACATCAGTGCAGCGGTGTAAAAATTTGGGAGTGTCTATTCAACATAAATGATGAACTAACCTAACTTTGTGTAAATAGACCACAATATAGAAATATGTACACATATGCAGTTGTGACTGACGTGTCTTTGTTCTGAATTTATACAAACACTATTTCATTTTATAGTAAATTTGTTTTTGCTAGTTTATGTTTATGAACAGAGATGTACAAATGCAGTTTAGTAAAGGAAACTCATTTGTGAATCTGAGTTTAAAGCAAGTTTTTATTAAACCTAAACTTGTAACTAAGTTGCAAATAAATCTTAAACTGAAACTTTGCTTGTTTGCAAAAGGTTATTTCAGCCACTTGGTTCTACCTAATGGAAATTGTTTGCCTTCAGTGTTTTGTGCTTATGATCATTTTAATAGACATCAGCGTCAGACTAATTAATGACATTCTATTAAAAGACTGGTTTACCAAGAGTGACACTGGAGTATTTTCACCTAAAATGAGTTAGTGAAGCGAGTCTTGTTACAAAATTTATAACATGACATTAGAGTCATAATTAATCTTTTAGTATTTTCACTTTCGATACTTAAGTACATTTGAAGGCAAATACTTTTGTACTTTTACTCAAGTGGAGGTCTAAAGGGAGGAATATGGAGCCCCGCTGGTGACATCCTGTATAAATAAAAATAATGCTTGGCCACGCCTTATTAACGCATGGGAACGAGATCCTAATGTGTGGCCACGACTTAGTAAGGCGTGGGAACGAGATCACGGCTTACTAAGTCGTGGCCACGCATTAGGATCTCGTTCCCACGCTTTACTAAGCCGTGGCCACGACTTAATCATCTCATTCCCATGCCTTACTAAGTCGTGGCCACGCATTATTTTTATTTATACAGGATGTCACCAGCGGGGCTCCGTAGAGGAACTTCTACTTTTACTGTAGTGATATTTTACCTTGGGTTTCTCTACTTTAACTGAAGTACATGATTTGTGTACCTCGTCTACCACTGGTTTGAACAAGCTTTGTCATGTTTCATTTCAGAATCTGTTGCTAGACATGGAGCATCTTTCCTGCATAGCAGATCAATGGTTGTTGGCTCGGTGGCAAGATAATCTGTGACAGTATTGTTATTATTCTGCTCCATTGCAGTCTCATGGAACTGGGGGGTGGGAAATTAGGTTGCCTCTGCAATGCAGTAATCAGGACATTTCTGGATGCCACTCTGCCTCTCCTGGGCCGCTCTCTGGAAGCTCTGAGGTGAGCTCCCACAAATGGCCCTGTCCTAATTCTCAAAGAATGTGCTCTTGTTACAGCTTCCTATCCCTTGCCTCTTCTAAAGAGCCCACCTGATTACATTTATTTTTGACAAAATTACAATGCTTCAGTAGCGAGAAGTGTTCATTTCTAATTTTCTGGGATCATTGGCTGGCCATATAAGTATTGGTGGCAAAGTTATCCAAGTTAACCTGTATCACACAGTCTTAAAAAGATGGTTCTTCAGGGGTTCTTCAGTAAAGACATTGGGATTCATTCTCCACTATCTTCCTAAGTTTTTTCTTACATATGTTCTTAAGAAAGGTCCTAAGAAAAAGTCTATGTCAGATTCATGATGTGTTCTTAAACCGTAGAATCGTTCGCACCTTTGTGCTCTTGAGTGTGTGTAGATTCTGTTCTTACCTAAGAACAAACCCCAAATAAGGAAACACTGGTGAATGCTGAATCTTCACAAAAAAACATGTAAGTGGGGTTTAAGAAAAAAAATTCGCTAACACTTTCTATGAATGTCACATTTGTAAGCATCTATAAACACATTTATAACATGTTATAATGTATTCATAAGGCATTATAAACGTGGTTATAAATATTTATAAAAAAGAATTACACTGAATTACACTTTATAGCCATGTTTATTATACATTATGAATTGTTAATATAATGCATTATAAATAGTGTTAATAACATGTTATAATGTCAGTGCCAAAGAAGTCAGTCCCAGCTTGGAGAGCGTAAAGTAAAGACAAATGCCAAGCTAACAGTGGTGTAGACTGACTCTCCCACATTGGGTAAAACACTGATGGCAGCTCTAGTTTAAACTCTGACATTTGAAGCTTGTAATGTGCTTCATTGTGTATGTTTTAGTGTTTCAGTAAATCCTTCAGTAAATACTTCAACTTGAAGCCTCACTCTTAACACTGGAGGAGGCTTTAGTACAGTATGCTTCACTTTACTTAGAGCGACTTATGAGCTCTTATAATTTGTTATGATCAGTACGTATAATGTATTATGTTAATAATTCATAATGCATAATAAACATGGCTATAATGTGTAATGCATTTTTATAAATATTTATAGCTATGTTTATAATGTCTTATGAATGCCTTATAACATGTTATGAATGTGTTTATAGATGCTTACAAAGGTGACATTCATAGAAAGTGTTACCAAAAATTCTTCTGAAGAACGGTTGATGAATGAGGCATACTGGTTCTATAGAACCAGGAACACTGAAAGAACCGTTTTCGTCCTTAAAGAGTTCTTGGCATCATGGAATGGCTCTTAAGATTGATAAGGAATCTTTATGAATTGGTTCTATAAAGCACCAAATCAGGCTCTTCCAGTGTTACAAGCTTGACATCATAACAATAGCAGACACCTTTTTTGTTCTATATAGAACCATGAACACTCAAAGAACCATTTTCATGTTTAAAGGATTCTTTGTATCGTGAAATCGTTCGTCAGATTGATGGAAATTGAAATCGGTTCTATATAGCACCAAAAAGGGTTCTGCTATTGTTATGATGTCAAGCTTGAACCCTTTTTGGTGCTATACAGAAACATTTTCAAAAAGGTTCTATATAGAATCATATACAGCACATTTTCCATCACTTCATCAATCTGAAGAATCATTTCATGATGCAAAGAAACCCTCAAACATGTAAATATTTTTTGAGTGTTCATGGTTTTATACAGAGCCATTGTCTTAACTAAAGAACCCTTGAGGAACCATCTTTTTTGAGAGTGTATGGATAACCTTGCCAAGTACAAATATCTTGGCAAGCTAAACCATCTTAAATGTAGGCAAAATGTCTAGAATTTCACATTGTGAAATTGGCGTAAGATTATTATAAGATTGTCCGACCTGTTTCTAGACATTTTATTAGTTTTAAGTAATTTAGTGTTATTCCATTAGAAGATCATTATCCTTGTTTCATGAAATAATTGCTTAAGAAACAAGCAAAAATTGCCAATGGAATGAAAATACATCACTAGATCAAATCACTTCCACTTATTTTAGTTGAACAATCTTATTCTTTCAACAGCAAGACTAAAAATAAGAAATATTAGACATAGATTTAAGTTCATTTCACTTGCCACAATAACAGTTTTTTGTATTAAAATTCACAATTCCTTCAGAAATAAATGAAGCAGGACAAGTACATACAAGGCTTACAATATAAAAGAGAAATGGTCTTCTGATATCTCCTTTCTCCTTTTCTCCATGTGACCTCTCTAGCACTACTTTTCATTTCTCATTTAACTGCCTCATTTCCTTGCCATTTCACAGGTGTCTATCCCTGGATCTGATGCCCTGCTGCATACAGGACCCATTACTGAAGGACACAAGTTGGCATATGTTTCATTCCATGAATATGCATTTCAAGGAGGAGCCTATGATACAAGCCTAGAAATATCTTTATACCATGAGCTATATCAGCTATGCCCAAATGTGGTCAAGTGGAATCAGAACTCCATGCTGAACACATGCTCCACACTCCACATGCTAGCCTATATCAGGTGGGCTATTTATGTTTTAATGAAAGACTAAGCGCCAATTCAAAAGCATTCACAGATACAAAGCACCTAAAATTGACACACAGCTTCTACTACCAACTAAATATGAGTTTGAGGAATTGTTACTAAGGTAAATATAAGGTACTTATAGTTGTTAATAATGTTATTTCAATATGGCAGAAAAGCAGCAGCCAATGACAGCCAACAACTATGGCCATGCTTTCAGATACAGATCCTTATTGTTGAATGAATTCTTACAAAACTGCATGAAATATATAATTGAATTAACCCTTACAGTACTGAATGAAAGAGTGTGGAATGAACACCTACAGTACTGAATGAAATACAGCACTGAATGAATATCTACAGTACTGAATGAAATAGAGGGCTGAATGAACACCTATAGAGTTAATGTTGTTCAATAAACACCTACAGTACTGAATGCAATGCAGTGTTAAATGAACACCTACAGTACTGAATGAAATACAGTGTTTAATGAATATTTACAGTACTGAATGAAATACAGTTTTAAATGAACACCTACAAAACTGAATGAAATACAATGATAAATGGACAGCAGCAGTCCTGAATGAAATACAATGTTGAATAAACATGTAGTGTTGAATGAAATAGTGTTAAATAAACACTTACAGTACTGAATAAAATGCAGTGCTGAATGAACATTTACAATACTGAATGAAATACAGCACTGAATGAACACCTAAAGGACAAATGCACTACAATGCTGAACATACACCTACAGTATTGAATAAAATACAGTGTTGAATGAACACCTGCAATACTGAATATAATACTGTCAAATGAACACCTACGGTACTGTTTGAAGTACAATGTTGGATGAACACTTACAGTACTGAATAAAAGTGTTTAATGAAACCTACAGTACTGAATGACATAGTGTCTGATGAACACCTACAGTACTGAATGCAATGCAGTGCTGAATGAACACCTACAGTACTGAATGCAATGCAGTTTTAAATGAACACCTAAGTACTGAGTGAAAGTGTTGAATGAACACCTACAGTACTGACTGTAATGCAGTGCTGAATGAACATCTACAGTACTGAATAAAAGTGTTGAATGAACACCTACAGTACTGAATGAAATGCAGTGTTGAATGAACACACGGTACTGAATGCAATACAGTAGTTAATGAACATCTACAGTACTGAATGAAATGCAGTGTCTATTGAACACCTACAATCCTGAATGAAATATTGTTAAATCAACTCCTACAATACTGAATGCAATAGTGTTTAATTAACACTTGCTGTACTCAGTGAAGTAGTGTTTAATGCACATCTATAGTACTGAATAAAATAGTGTTTAATGAACACCTACAGTACTGAATAAAACAGTGTTGGATGAACACCTACAGTACTGAATGAAATACAGTGTTGAATTAGCACCGACAGTACTGAATGAATAGTGTTGGATGAACACCTACAGTACTGAGTGAAATAGTGTTGAATGAACACATACAGTACTGAATGAAATGCAGTGTTTAATGAACACCTACAGTACTGAATGCAATACAGTGTTGAATGAACACCTATAGTACTGAATGAAATACACTGTTTAATGAACACCTACAGTACTGAATGAAATACAGTGTTGAATGAACACATACAGTACTGAATGAAATGCAGTGTTTAATGAACACCTACAGTACTGAATGCAATACAGTGTTGAGTGAACACATACAGTACTGAATGAAATGCAGTGTTTAATGAACACATACTGTACTGAATACAATAGTGTTGAATGAACGCATACAGTACTGAATGAAATACAGTGTTGAATGAACACCTGCAGTACTGAATGAAATACAGTGCGAATTAACATAGCACTGAATTAAATATAGCCAAAACTGCATTGAACAGTAGGGATTTTGCTGTTACTAAATACTGATTGCCTCAGTGGTTTGATTTTCCACTGCAGGTAGCAGTGCATTAGCAAGCAACTGATATTAATCACTGACAGGGCGGGTCATCAAAAATGTTTTTACAATGCTTCAATAATAACAGCATCAGTCATAATACGGATTCTGCGCATGCGTAATGGTTAAGAGTGATCGTATGACCTAATGCGTGACGCCAGCACCCTGCCGGAGGCGAACACGGTTAATTTCGAAGACTTAAATCACCTTGTGAAGCAGTGCTCGCAGATGTAGCCCCTCTCGCTGACCGAAAGCACGTGCGAGTAAGCGGGGCACGAGAAGAGCAGCTCCCCGATCCTGTAGGGTCTCGTGGCTCGCAGACCCCTGCCCTTTCCCGGGCTTTCAAAAGATTCAATGCCGTCGATGCCCTCGTGCTTCATGGCTGTGTGTGATACGCGCGCGCGTGTCTGTGTGCGTGCGTGCGTGTGAGAGAGAGATGCGTGCTGCCCCGCGTCTCTCTGCGATCTCACACTCCAGCGCGGTGAAGACTGGCGTTGCTGTGAATGAGTGCACGAGCCCGGGTCTGAGTCAGGTCTTATGCGCGAGCCGCCGAAGTCCCGCCCCAAAAATGTGTTTATGCCAAACTCACTTGGCGCGCGGCAGCTATTGGTTACAGTGGCGATTATGTAAGCAAGGCATAGTGTCGTAAGACGCGCGCGCATACAGACACAGAGGCGCGCGAGCAAGCATGCACACGAGCGCACTTTAGAATGATTTCAATAGCAGGCCAGGCGCTGGTATTAACTACAGTGACACCGACGGGGCGGGTCACTGAGTGCAATGGGGGGGGGGCATAGAGAAGAAAGAGGAAGTGAGGGAGAGAAGAAGGAGACAAAGACAGAAAGAGAGAGCATGGAGAGAAAGAGTGAGAGGAGAGAGAGAGAGAGCATGGAAAGGAAGAGTGAGAGGAGAGAGAGATGAACGAGATGAGAGAGAGAGAAAGAGAGAGAGAGCATGGAAAGGAAGAGAGAGAGAGAGAGAGAGATGGAGAGAGAGAGAGAGAAAGAGAGAGAGAGCATAGAGAAGAAAGAGTGAGAGAAAAGGGAGTGAGAGGAGAGAGAGAGAGAGAGCATGGAAAGGAAGAGTGAGAGGAGAGAGAGATGAACGAGACGAGAGAGAGAGAGAGAGAGAGAGAGAGAGAGAGAGAGAGAGCATGGAAAGGAAGACAGAGAGAGAGAGAGATGGAGAGAGAGAGAGAGAAAGAGAGAGAGCATAGAGAAGAAAGAGGGAGTGAGGGAAAGAAGAAGGAGACAAACAGAGAAAGAGAGAGAGAGCATGGAGAGAAAGAGTGATAGAAATTGAGTGAGAGGAGAGAGAGAGAGAGCATGGAAAGGAAGAGTGAGAGGAGAGAGAGATGAACGAGACTGAGAGAGAGAGAAAGAAAGACAGAGAGAGCATGGAAAGGAAGAGAGAGAGAGAGAGAGAGAGAGAGAAGGAGAGATACATGGAGAGAAAGAGAGAGTTCTTCCACCAAAACTGTCTCTAGATAAAACAGTACCTGCATTTTTGAGGGAGAGGAGAAAATCAAGCTCCACTTTGGCTTCAGATCTAAACAAATCCACAGCTGTTTCTTTCTATCCTTTACAAAAAAATGATATTATATTTAGTTTTTAAGGGATTCTAAAATGAATTTCCCTTGATGATTCACCATTTGGCACTGCAATTCAGTCCAACACCTGATTTAATCCATAACCGGCCTATGATGTTGTAATCGCTATATTTACATTTCTTGGCAGGTTTTGTGCCTTGAGATTTGATATTTTTATAAATAAAATTTTCAGAACTTCATTCTTGATGTTGTACAGTTTTATCAAACATTATAGAATCATCTGCAGCTCTCCTCTTCATTCTGGAGGAACATTCCTTCATTTTTATTTACAGCACAAACATATAAGAATCATTTTATACAGTCATCTGCACACGAATTGATTTTATGTTATCAAGAATAGTGAATTAAAAATTTCAAACAGTTTTGTGATGTTTTTAGACACTGTTCCAGCCTTACTTTAGTGCTGAACCCAGCAGCACTGTTTAAAAATAAAGCCTGTTCACTGGAGCTCATTTATCCACCATCCATTCAGAACACATTACAGTCATCCCTCTCTCTCTCTCTGCTATTAATAGCACAGGTGTGCACTCACACAGTGCTGATATCAGACTTTCAGCACTATTTTTTCATATTATGTATAATATATTTAATATCCTCAGTTGTTGACACTATTAGAGCATCAGGATATGAACTAGCAGCTAAATGACTGACTATTTACAGGCCATTGAGTTGTTAAACAACACTATATGTTAAAAGTAATATTTGTTGTTGTATTTTTTGCAATTTACAGTTTCTCAAATTTAGAACCAAGGTGTGAAATAATTAACATCTTGGACCCATCAAAATTCTGCGAGTTCCCTGAAAATAAACATATTACGATGATATGCTGTCCATTTGGGAAAAACACACGCTCAAGTACAGACTCAGGGAAAGCTCACTGAATGTGTTTACATGCACTTAATAATCAGTAACTGCAGAAAATCTGATTTTGTTAGTAATCTTTGTCAGTAATCCCATTAATGTGTTTGCATGCACTTGAGTAATCAGATAATGGGGAAGCTCCAGGTCTACATGAGTCAGACAATAATCAAAGTTCTGCTTTGCAACCGGCAAATAAACTCACAGAGGAAGACGTGACATAAACGTAATGTAAAACTCAAACTTCATGCCGCAGCTTTTTTATAAAAAAAACATTGCGCCACTTTATCTGAAAATATGAACATACGACATTTAGAAGATGAAGAATATTTAATTCCTTCATTCCTTTAAGCATGTAGTTGGTTTCAGCATCGCACCAAAAGTATTTTGCTTCTATCTCATGCCATGTTTATTTCCTGATCGCCGTCTGTTTCGCACATGCGCAGACTGAGAAATCCGAAAGAAATCAGAGTAAGAGTTTACATGCACTGAGAAATCTGATTACTAAGCTAAAATCCAGCTCTTTATCAGATTTCTATTTCTAGACCTTTATTCCAAGAAATCGAAGTGTACTGTTTACATGACCATTTGAATAATCAGATAACTGCAGAAATCTCATTATGATCTGATTATTGAGTGTACGGTATCCCAGGCAGAGTAATAAAAGCGTGTGCCAACCAACTCGCGACACCCTTCACAGACATTTATAATGTCTCACTGGCACAGTCCATCGTCCCTGCCTGCTTTAAAACAACAACCATTGTCCCCATTTCAAAGAAAACCAACATCTCCTGCCTGAATGACTACCGTCCCATCGCTCTCACACCCATAGTGATGAAGTGTTTTGAGAGGCTGATCCTCCATCACATAAAGAACAGCCTCCCGAACAGCTCCGCTTTCAACACCATCATCCCATCCAGACTGGTCTCCAAGCTCAACATCCTTGGAATAACTAACTCCCTCTGCAACTGGATCATGGACTTCCTCACTGGCAGACCACAGTCTGTCAGAATGGGTGACCACACCTCCCCCACCCTCACACTCAGCACCGGATGCCCACAAGGCTGCGTACTCTCACCCCTGCTCTTCACCCTGTACACCCAAGACTGCTCTGCCAAGCACAGCACCAACACCATCATCAAGTTTGCTGATGACACTACAGTCATCGGCAACATCACCAACGATGATGAGGGAGCATACAGGGAAGAAGTGAAGCTCCTCGCTGAATGGTGCACTGCCAACAACCTCTCCCTCAACGTCAGCAAAACCAAGGAGCTGATTGTTGACTTCAGGCGGGGGCGCAGAGTGCATGCACCGCTGAGCATCGAGGGGACGACGGTAGAGAGAGTGAGCAGCTTCAAGTTCCTCGGGGTCCACATTTCTGAGGATCTCACCTGGTCACTGAACACATCCCACATCATCAGGAAAGCACAGCAACGGCTCCACTTCCTCCGACGGCTGAAGAGAGTCAACCTGCCACAACAGCTTCTCTGCAACTTCTACAGATCCACTGTGGAGAGTATTCTGAGCAGCTGCATCACAGTCTGGTACGGCAGTGCCACTGCTGCTGAACACAAGGCCCTGCAGAGAGTGGTGAAAACTGCCCAGCGCATGCAGGACCTTTACAGCAAGAGATGTCTGAGGAAGGCCCTCTGCATCTCCTCCGACCCCACACACCCCAGCCATCCGCTGTTCCAGCCTCTGCCATCTGGAAGGAGGTACAGGAACATCAGAGCCAGAACCACCAGACTCAGAAACAGCTTTTTCCCCCGTGCTGTTAAACTGGTGTCACCAGCTACACTACCCTCAACCTGAACTCATACAGACTGACCTCTGTTCACACTACTTCACACCAACCTCAACCTGATTAACAGACTGACCTCTGTCCTCCCCCTACTATCCCTCAGATCGCCATCAGCTCAGAGACTGTATGCACCATGCACTTTAACCCATAGTTTGTTGCTCCCTGCCCTCTACATACCCTATTGCACCTACTGTTATATTAACAGTGTTAAAGTACCAGCACACCTACTGCAGTGTATATACTTGTATTTATTTTCTGTATTTATTGTTCTATGTCCCTGCACTATGTCCTGTCTTGCACTATGTCCTGTCTTGCACTATGTTGTCTGTAATTGCACTGGAGATCTAGCCTAAAAGTGTTTCGTTGTATTGTACAACCCTGTTTCAGTATAATGACAATAAAGTTGAATTGAAATGTAAACACACTTACTGTTTATGTTATACTGTTTACACTGTTTATACTTTGTTAGCCCCCTTTTACCCTGTTCTTCAGTGGTCAGGACCCCCATGGACCCTCACAGAGCAGGTATTATTTGGGTGGTGGATTATTCTCAGCACTGCAGTAACACGGATGTGGTGGTGGTGTGTTAGTGTGTGTTGTGCTGGTCTGAGTGGATCAGACACAGCAGTGCTGCTGGAGTTTTTAAACACTGTGTCCACTCACTGTCCACTCTATTAGACACTCCTACCTTGTCAGTCCACCTTGTAGATGTAAAGTCAGAGACGATAGCTCATCTGCTGCTGCACAGTTTGTGTTGGTCATCCTCTTGTCCTTCATCAGAGGTCACAGGACGCTGCCCACAGGACGCTGTTGGATGGATATTTTTGGTTGGTGGACTATTCTCAGTCCAGCAGTGACACTGAGGTGTTTAAAAACTCTGATCCACTCATACCAGCACAACACACACTGACACACCACCACCACGTCAGTGTTACTGCAGTGCTGAGAATGATCCACCACCCAAATAGTACCTGCTCTGTGGGGGTCCATAGGGGTTCTTACCACTGAAGAACAGGGTAAAAGGGGGCTAACAAAGTATCAGAGAAACAGATGGACTACAGTCTGTAATTGTAGAACTACAAAGTGCACCTATATAGTAAGTGGAGCTGATAAAATGGACAATGAATGTTGAAACAACGAGGTGGTCATAATGTTATGCCTGATCTGTGTGCCTCTAAACTTATTTGAATAACGTAATTGTAAATCTGAAAACGTTCCCAAAGTTTGGTGGAAAGAGTGAAGAGTTCCTCATTTC